CTGTTTCAATAACTCTTATCCAAACGTCAGTTTACACCTTGGCGATTCTGGGCTGCAATCTTATAACTCAGTATGTGATTTAGGTATTAGGTATTCTCGGAACTTAACGTTTACGGAATATGCCCAGTCACTTGCCTCCAAGTGTAGGCGCTCAGTTGGCCTTTTGCTTAAACACGTACATACCACTGAGGCCAGACTGCTTTTATTCAAGGTAATGATCCACCCAGTACTTGAATATGGCACAATCATCTTCAGCAATATGTATGCTTCGGATAGGATACTAATTGAGAATGTTCAAAGAAAGTTTACCCGCTATGTACTGGGCCGTCACGAAGAACTTGATTATGAGGGAAGGTGTAAGAAACTAAAAATTGACCCACTTTGGCTAAGACGCCTTAAGCTCAACCTTAGCCTATTTTTCCGCCTTTTGCATGGCATTACTCACGCCTGTTGCGCTCCTACTTTTAAGCCTATGTCCTCATATAGTCTACGCAATCGTGAATGCACTGTACCTGTAGAAAAGCACCGCCTTAAACTTAGGTCACGATCCTTTATGTTACAGTACAGCAAGTTATGGAATAAGCTTCCACATTTTATTCGCTCTTGCATGTCTGCATTTCAGTTTCGACGTCTACTCAACGAATTCTTTCTTTTCACGGATATCTATAAATTTCTTGACATTCATATTATATCCACAAATACGAAGCATAATGGAGCAATCGGCACATAACAATGGTCAAGCCATTGCGTCCACTATGAACGTACTCAGATCTCTAAATGTAAGAATCGGCTTTATTAAAGCCCTGAAGTTCCTCTAATGCAGATGGCCTTACGATTGCATACAACGGTATGAATACTGGCTCATCTCCGTATAATGAACTTAAAGAATACTGTTTATCTCTGAAAGCCACTACGGTACACCCCCTTAAAAAAACTGCCTAATAACCCTATAATGGAAGGACTATGTAGTTGACTTCACACATATACATGAAAATGTACATAAAGTCCGAATAAATCAAAAAAGAATAGGGACTTCTTCTTCTCCAAATTTGATAGCGTAGTAATCTGTATTTCCATATCTGCTCGTGCCTCTTCTTTCTTTCCCCATTTGCAGAAACAGCTGCAAGTCGACATTTGATGTTCAAATTCAGTCTGAACGTGATTACTTTATGGAATAACACCTGCTCATTGACGCCAATAATTATTGGACTGCTCCCACTCTTTCGCAAATTCTGGACCATCTTCAAGATTAACTCACCTACTGGTCATGATTCTTCTGGAGACGAACCGTCTGATCATCCCAACAGTATTAGTAGCAGAGACATTCTGAACAGATGATTAAACCAGAGACCAATTCACGTATTGGCTCAGGACGTCACTTACCTGCAATGGCTCCACACTGAAAATTTTCCAGTGCTCTGTACCAAGAAACCCTTTCAGATGGAACTTACTACGCATCAAATACACATCTCAAATGATGCCGCCTATGCTAATTCAAAAGATACCCAAAATCTATGGACTATGGACTGTTTTAACATCTATTTTCATCCAATACACCAAGTATCCTCAGCAGAATTAATCTATCTTACCTTCAGACGAAACACGCTGTCCTGGGTATGCATTGATATAGCCATACATGTTGGTTATATGACTGTGGATACTTTATTGATACTCCGGATTGTATAAATGGGTCCTTTGTGGTCAGCAAACTAAAAACTGAAAACCATTCCAGGCAATAAACCGTTATATTACTAATCAGCAACCTATGCGAATGAGCTGACAACGTCGGTTGGTTACAACGCAAACTTTGAACACTGCGCGCTTTTGATATTGAAAGTGAAACCTATCTACGTGATGGGAGATGGGAATCCATATCCGTCTCATGAATTTCAGTAAATTTTAATAAGATTATGCACACTGAAGACTTCATATATAAACTATTTAATACTAGAACAGTCAGCGAGTCTATCACCTGGGGTGAAGGCAAGCGCTTAGTTTTCAGGTTACAACTGCTACTAGGAAGCAACCTTCCCAGTCCACCAACTGTTTCCAAATCTGCTGCCAAAGCCTTGAAACCCTTAGTAGACCAGTGAATAGTACTTACGTTAGTTCGAGACAGAGCGGCCGCCATGCAGTTTTGTGCGCCTTTAAAGTGTCTTACACCGCTCGTAAATTGCGATATGAAGTCAAGTTGACGAATTTCACATGGTGAGTACTTGTCGGGTTTTGCTTTTAGCTCATAATTTGAAGGCTTGTGATCCGCGTAGACTGTAAACGTCCTGCTATCCACCATGTGACAGAAATGCTTGATGGCCAGAAAGATCACCAGCAGTTCTCGGCCAAACGTTGAGTACCAAGTTTTAGGTGGGGGAAGGCGTTCTGAAAGGAACGCCCCTGATTGCCACTGATCATCCACAAACTGACTGAGTGCTGCCTTTACAGCCTTTTCGGAAGCATCGACCATAAGTGCTAATGGTGCACTGACATCAGGGCATATTAGGATTACAGCTTTATTAAAACCATCTTCAATTTGCTGGCGGCATCAGTAACTTCCGTTGGCAGCTTAAAGTCCTTAGGACTTCCTCTTAAGGCGTCACTTACGTATTGCATGTGCTGTGCACAATGCGGCATGAATCTACGATAAAAATTAACTAAACCAAGAAAACTTCTTAGTTGAGTATGGAGGTGGGTAGTGGGCAATGGTTTATAGTACCCATCTCTTATGGCAGTGGTGATATTCCCTCTCTACTAATCATACGTCTTAAGAATCGTATCTTCTCAACTCCGAATACACGCCAATTTTGGTTTATCGCCATGCCGTTGTCATTCGGCTTTGTAAAACTGCCCGTATATGACTCTCATGTGGGTCATTGTCGGAGCTGGCAATCGGCAGGTCATTAATGTATCCTTTGCCAAATGGTAAGTCTCGCAGATCATCCATATACTACCGGAAAGTTTGTGCAGCATTCTGAAGGCCAAAAGGCATTCGCACAAAGTTGTATAAATCAGGTGGGGTGGTGGTAGCTGTTTTCGGAGCGTCTTCTTCGGCCTCAGGAATATTGTGATGTGAGCGGATCAGGTGGCCCCCTAACACCCATGGAAGACTCTAATCTACTCGAAAAAATACAAAGAACCACAAGAAAATCAGTCGTGGGAATAAGGAGAAACGCATATTCCGAAAGACTCAGACAGGTGAACCTATTCACATTGGATTATCACAGGAAGAGGGGTGACCTAATTATGGACCACAAGGTCGCCCATGAGGCAAACCACGCAAACAAATCAATTTCGCCTACAACTCAGTGGTCTACAGAGGGAAACCCCATTAAGATCGCACACCAGAGAGGCAATACCATACTCTGATTTAATTTTTCTCCCATAAAGTATGCGCTATATGGAATGCCTTACCACTATATGTCGTCATTGTCCCCTCAGTTGACTCATTCAAGAGACACTTAGACAGATATCACCTTTCACGTTCTACCATGGATGTACTCAGGGAGTCACCATTCTCACTATTTCTCCCCCCAACTGCCCTCTACCCACTACTCACCAACTTTCTCCTTAATACACCCACATTACCTACGAATTCTTCCGTGGGAAATAAAACTAAGCTATCTATTTCTACCGTCCGGGCAATTCCCACATACTTTTCTCTCTTTTATTTCTCCTCTCTACCCTCTACTTTTCGTTTTCTTTCGTTTTTCCTTTTTCTCTCCCCTTATTTTCTTTTTCATCTGCATTCTTTTATTTCTCACTACTATGACGATCCTCGGGGTAACCCAAGGAGAATCGCCCACCAAAGAGCGAAAACCCGTGTGCGATCACACTTCTTCTCTCTGCGAGTTTGCGGCCACTGGAATGCATTGCCCGTCGAGACTGCCACAGCTGCTTCTGTTGACAGCTCCAAGAAGAGGTTGGACAGTTACACAGTGACGCACGGTTCGCGCTCGCCCAACTGGGATGTGGACTAGGCTGACACGACCTACTAACTCGGTACGACCAACCGTTACTGAACACTCTGTAAAGCCACTACCACTGAGAACTTGGCCGGACCTTATACTCTCCTGTAGACGTCCCCTCCACTTACCGTCTCCTACTAAAAGAATTGCTATATTCCCATTCGTCCCATCATGTTATTTATTATTCTTCCTTCCGACTTTACGTTCTCAGACCTTAACAAAAGCTCTCCCTATCACCTATTTCCTGTGAACCTACCAATGTTTCTTCTTCCGTGCCGTTTCCTTTTCCCTAATCTTCTTGAATTATTTTTCTTTCTTGTTTCCTTTTCTTTTTTATTTTGTCTCTCTCTGCACTTTCTCTCCCTTGATTTCTCTGCACATATTTTTCATCTCCTTTTTACAACCAGTCTGGCCAATTATCTGCTGGCGTGACACTTGAGGAACCCACTTGCACCACAGTCCTTGGAAGGAAAAGCAAGCAAACAAACAACACTGCCTACAAATGCAACCAACACCCAACCGCCCGTCGGGCTAACCAGAGCTACAGCAGCCGAGTGGGTAGACCTACTGCATTGGAATCCACCAAAGACCTGGAACCGTTCCGCAAGACCTGGAAGCGAGCGCGAAGAAATCAATTGGTTTGCACCAGCTCGTTAAAAGATATTGGATATTCGATACCTTACTATTCTCTTTCAGGTACCTACACAGACAGGAGTCACGATAGTCCACTAACCTTCCCAGTAATCCGTAGCTTCACAATAACTCTACAAATATAACACACTAACCCACGAAAAATCCACCCCACTCAGGCTAAAAGCAAGAAAGCAGAGGGGATTTCCTCGTCCACTGCAGGAGTGAACCGAACAACTCGAACCAAGCCCTAAGAACTAAACGCAAGGGATCAAAAACTATCAGTTTTCTACTCTCACACCATCAATATTGGATATTGGAACTCCGCAAAACCTAGAAGTTAGCACAAAGAAATCAACTAACTAAACCATGTTATTAATATTGGTGATGGAATATTGAGATTAGGTCAGATTTCTCGCGCTGCATATGAGCTAGGTCGAATATGGTGTCGACATCGGTGTGAAATGCAGATAACAGTAACACCTAGCTTGAAACTGAGTGATTTTTAGCGTGAAACTTCCTCCCAGCCTTATACTTTGGTGATTATGTAACAATCGATCGGGGAGTATTGATACTTACGGTCCCGTGTCGTAATTACCTTCCTCTCATTCGGCTCCGAACTCTAATTGACTTTGAGTAAAATACACCTTTTCATGCACTTAAGTTTTAGTCCTATTTCGTGAGCTGAGTTGTCCCACAAGAATCTCGACTGGATCTTGGTCTTATTTATTTACCAATCAGCGTTAAGGTAATTAAAAAAGCCCCTCGATGTCCGCCTAAATTACCGAATATGTCAGACAAACTGACCAACCAGTATTCAAAATTTTCGCATGCCCAGGTTCCACCAAAACTGCATGGAAAATTTGAGGAGCTCTGTGACATTGCTGTTCATCTTGTTGACATTCTTTAGTTTCATGTTTTGCGTCTCATTCTTCATGTCTGTCTTGCATGTTGCTCTTGGTGTGGTTTCCCTTCTTTTTGCCTCAGTCCATATACCTATCTACATATAATTTAACTCTCCTGTTAACCTGTCTTTAGGTAGTCTTGATGATTAATTCACGTCTTTTGTGATCATAAACCATCAAAGAAATGCCCTAGTGCGTGACCTCTTTGCCACATTTGCAACAGTTGAGCACAAAGGTTTTTTCACATCAGTCGATGGAGTTTACTGGTTAGGTTATGTTGGAGTCTGCAAATATAGAGGCATCCAGCATTGTATGTTATATATATATATATATATATATATATATATATATATATATATGCATGGACAGGAAGGATTATAATGCCTTTTATTTTCTATAGAAAGATGTGTGAACACTTACATATCTTAAGAAAGTCCCGATTAATTTTAGAAAAAAATAGTTGGTATGATTGTGAGCAATACTTTGTATTCGAAGGTAGGTAATACTGTGTCAAACTGTGCTGTATATCAAATAAATAAGTGTTATATGGTAAAACAATAAATGTACCAACTGACTGAATCAGAACGAGCAGGCTTATTGATTTTTACTTCACCTTGAAAGTTGAATTTCTTATGTGTAGTACGCAGAGTTCTATTTTATGGAGCCTACGTGAAGTCAAACATCACGGTCATCCCAATATTCATGCACAGCTTTCCCGTTATCACCGCACTTTCGAGGCATGGGTGTCGTTTAGTAGGCGAGCTAAGATTTGGCAGTAGTATCAACCTTGGACTTATAAAGACTAACCTCAAGTTTCAAAACATTACTCTGATTGGCAAGCTGATAAAGCTTTATTTGAGACAGGTTTAAATTTGGCGTGAGCTAGGTGACTGATCAGCCCAAATTAGGCAGTTATAGAGACTGCCGATTGAGCGTTTCGAAAAGGGAAACCATCCACAAAAATAGAAGACGATTCATTATTGAAAACTCTGGTGGGGCGATTACAGTCAATGCTATAAGGAGTCAATCATGTTTGGCTTTTTAAAACCAGTTAAATTTAGTTATTGACACGTCAGCGTTCTTTGATTTAGATTGGTCAGTGATGTCATATGAATAACTATGACAGCTATTTTACCATTTGTCTACTTACTATATGCCATCTTTGGAGAGGATCGCCACTCTTTCTGGCGTTACTATTTGGACTCCAATCACGCGTTAGTATGTCCTCGTATAGGTCTGCATCTTACTGGTCATCGGAAACAGGTGGCAGTCAGGCCTGTGTGCTCGATTGGAAGATGAGAACGTGAAGTGCGTATTTAAGGTGGAGATAGCTAAACATTTGTCTGAACGTGACAGCAGTGCTCATCCTGAGCAAACCTGGCGTGACTCAGTCTACTTTAGAAACAGTGGTAAAGACAGTTGGTAACCTATACCTGGTAGTTAGCAAACGTCAATCGATTTCCGCAACTTCATTCTAACTGATTGGTACGAGAATACTGATTTCAGCTGGCTCTGACCATACTGAATAGCGAAAGCAACTTAACTGTAAGTTGACCAAGAGTCTTTTCAACGATCGCGAGCAGTGGTGGATGTCGAAAGGGAGAGAGAAGGCATCAGCGTTAAGTAACACCCGGGAGTTATTCAGGGATACTAAAGATACCGGCAAGAAGAAAATGATGGTTGGCGAAACTATCCCCGTCAAGGATGGGACACTGATAGCCCTTCAGGAAAGATAGCTAGAAGGTTTGGAGGAACGCTTTGTAGCACAGTTCAAGTGACAAACAGCAAGGCTTCAGTTGTCCAGTATCTAGCCTGAACGGAATGTAGATGTCAGTCCCCCAACCCTCCGTGAAGTTGAGAAGGGTGTGTCGAACCTGAAACTGCGAAGAAGCAGGACTTGACAGTTTGCCACTTAAAGTTTTCAAGGATGAAGGTATGAAATCGCTAATGAAAGTGACAGAGGCACTAGGTAGTGTATGGGAATCGGTGGTAGTGTCGTCATGCTAGTCTACTTCACCGATCCCAGTCTACAAGAAGAGAGAGAAGCCTTTTTATGACAACCATAGGAGAATCACTTTGACTAATATTGTTTACAAGACCCTAAGATCCGTAGTAATCTGACACCTAACTGGAGCTTGAGAACAGAAAACCAGACAGGTCTCAAATATGGATGAGAGTGCATCGATCAGATTTTCACCCTGACATGTTCTGGAACACAAGTATGCCCACTGGTGGCCGACACTTGAAGTAAGAGAGAAAAACAATGCAAACAGTATGATTAGAAGGGTAGTCCAGTAAGACACATTCAAAACGAAACATTCATTACTTTTCAGCAGCAGAAGATAAGATGAGGCCACAGCATGATCATGAGTCATATCTGATGACGTTTTAAGCCACTGAGTTACGTGATCTCTCAGACCCCACCAAGGGAGTCGTGATACATCAACAGATTCTAACCCGATACAACTATCCCTCATCCCATGACACCACGTCACACACTGATCACCCTTCCGCTCCTTCCATCCCGTCCCAGAGCTAGCAAACAATGAACGGTATGGAAGCCGTTAGGACAACATGCGTAACATGTCCAAGCCACCGAAGCCCGTGTTTCCAAATGATTTTACTTATTGAATGACAATCTCCATCATAGCCATACGCACGCTGTCGTATCTCAGAAATACTTACATGGTGTTGCCACCGGTTACGAGCAATCCTACGAAGATAACGATGATCAAACACAGACTTGTTGCATGTCCTCAGCGTAGAGAGTCCATGTTTCACAGGTGTAGAGCAGAACTGCTCGCATCGAAGTGTTGTAAATCCGACCTTTTACGGTCGGACTAACGTTAGGACAGCGCCTAAGGTGGCCTAGATTGGCTTATACCACTCTGTCTTTCGATATGCGGTTGGAAATTTGGTCAGTTACCTCCACATGCACTCACACAGCTACCTAGATACACGAGCTTTTCAGCTGCTTCCAACGGCTCACTACCAAGAATGAGCGCAGGCTCAGGCTTTTGTCAGTCTTGCAAAAGTACTCTGGACTTCAATGATGCAAAGCACATATACTTACGGACACTTAGGTACGTTTGAAATCAGTGGGATTGATCTACTCCCTGGAGGTCATCTGGTTGACTTAGGGTATGTAGACGATATTGTCTTGTTAGGTCAAGACGCTGACTAAATGCAGTTTTCTGAACGCCTTAAGCAGGAGTTTGAGTATATTTAGCGCATGTAAAATGATGCAAGTATTCCCAATTTAATGGTAGGGAGTGAAGTGGTGAGATATGTCGACTACTCCACTTACTCAGGGAGCTGCAGCAGCCCGAACGGGCTGGTTGGTGACGAAATCTCACCTCAGATACAGGAGGCTCCATTAGCATTCGGTAACTTGCCTCATTCGTGGGGCTGTTTGGGGCGATATCCGTTTGCGTATTATAAAACGAGTATACTGCGCCACATTTCGTTCTGTCTTATGCGGTTGTCATGACCGTTGGTAGTAAATATGAAGAGATTACAGGGTCTTCCAATGCTGAAGTATATATACTGATCTTCATTTTCAAATTCCTTTTCTAATACGCCTTTGTTCACTTTAATACCAGTTTTTTTCTATCGATTTCTTCTCTGGATGCTAGTGTAAAGATTGCCAGTTTAAATCGATGCAATTATGTATGAGGTCCTTTTTTTCTTTTCGTTATGTGGTCCGTTTGCGGTAGCGTAGGCTTTTTGGTTGGGGTTGACACAAGGGAATTCAAGAAGAGTAGCTGGGGTACATATGCATCTATTTATTGTTCTAATCGAAATTGTAATATTATTAGTGTTTTTTTCGCTTCCTCCTCCGACCGCTAACATATGTCTTGATGCTCATGTTCTGAGTTTGTGTTTTAAATAGTAAATAATGGTGTCTTTTGAAGAAATGTTGGCATTATTTTCCTTTTTAATCCACTATCAACCTTTCTTATATTCTGATGCAAAGTGCGGTATTCTGTACTGATACGCATTTGTGAAATCATATTTTGTTAACTTCTGGCAACTCAGTTATCATTCATTTTTCCTTCTACCTTTACTCAAACTACGATTATATATATACATATAATGTGATGGTTCCTAATTTATTGTTGTCGGTAAATTGTCCTGAAACGCAACTGTTATTTCCGCACTAATATTATGTTTCAGCCACCAACTTTCTACCACTTCTTAGTTAATTTCCCGGCCCGGATAATTAATGTAGAGGACACACTAACACGAGTAGAATATATATTCAGACAGAAGACCGATAGTTACGGTCAAAATAAAAATCTCTTGAAATATAGTACGCTATACTGGCGCTAAAAAAATGATAAGTTATCTAACCGTAGTTGTAATTAACAGCAAGTAAATTTCGACTGATTCACTTGTCACCTCCCCCTTAGAAAAGTGCAACTTAGGATCAGTTTGGAAACGTACTGTTTTTTTTTCTGCACCTATCTGATCGAGATAGGGGGAGTGTTTCCTTGTTTACTAGAGTGTTAGCAGCTTTCTCGATATCATTTTCGCCTGGTATCCCGAATTTATATAGCAGAATATCTAGAAGAAGCGCGTTGGTTTTTGTCTCTGAACATCTGTGGCGTCGTGGTTCGTTCTTGTTTCGGGTCGATGTCTGATTCAGCTGCAGTGCCATACATTATGCTACCACGTCCCCCTGCAATCTGTCTTTCTATCCACTTATCGTGTCATACTTTGTCGGTAACTTCGTTACAAGTGGCCTAGGAGTCCAGACATTGTGTACTGTTTGTAGCTTCCTGCCCACTAGCGCTTCCGACGGACTTCGATGATTTTAAAGTATCTATTGGTGTTGTCCTGTATATAAGCAAGAATTTTCGGATAATGTCTACTGACTTACCTTCCTCTCGTGCTTTAACCATAAGTCTCTTGAACGTGTGCATAAATCGTACAGCTTGACCATTGGATTGCGGATGATATGGTGGGAATACTATATGCCCGGCCATATATCGAAGACAAAAATCTTCTGACTGCGTGAATGTGAACTGAAGACCATTTTCAGAAACGATAATTCCCGCCAGACCATGGCATCAGAAAATATTAACAAAGACCTTAAAATTCTGCATTTTAGTTGGTGGGTTGACTAGAGCAACTTCTGGTCATTTTGAGTAGACTTCAGCCAAAATTAGATAATGATTCCACTCAGGTGGTCCAACGAAATCGACGTAAACATCTTACCATAAGTGCTCAGATTGGTGGTAGTCATGGAGGGTGTATAGTTGCTCATTGACATTTCTGTACATCTATTCTCATAGTCAGCTGTTTGCTAGTCTATCATTGGCCTATGAGCGTAGTTACAAGCAGTTGATTTCATCCATTAGATATCTGAATGATCGGAAGGAAATTGATGTAGGATCTGATTCCGAGGTGATGAAGGGTTGAGAACCCCGTCTGTGAACATAAGGAAATCGTTTACGATAAACGGAGATAGGCTTGTCGGTGAGAAAGCTGTTGTAAGTTATCAGTAAGCGGTTTGGTCTGCCATCGATTTTTTACAAAATGTATGTCCCACTGTAACTCCTTGTCTTCTCATGTGGCTGTCTAAATATCACTTACTGTAAATGGAAGTGCTGTAACAACAGCTGCTCTTGGGTAGGTAATGGACTATGAAATCTAGAAACTGCTGCTATGACTTTATCTTCATTTGATGTAGAATAGTAACTTATTAAGCGAGAATGAGCATCTGCTTGACAGAATACATGAGTATGTAGATGTTGGATCTCAGAATCATATCCTAGTAACCTTAGGGTCTATCGTTGTAGATGGTTCCCGGAATGCCTGACTTTGACTCAAAAACAACTAGTTGGGGTTTATGGTCTGATTTGTTTGTCATGCTCGAGAAATGGTGGTCTAAAATGTAACTCCAGGCTTTAAGCACTCAGCCGTAAATCATTTATGAAGTTACCCAGAAAACTATTGAGAAATATAACTACAAAAATGCGATCAGACCTTAACTACGTAATTCTTGGAAATGACTATCACGGCTTATGTCGGTAGAAGGTGTGTTTAAGGTCGTCTGACGAGAAATTCACTCGATGAATATTCATCCTGTTGTTTGTTTGGAGAACCTAGGTTTCGTGCTTGTTGGCACGCGTAGGCAACGTCGAGGGAAGTGAAATTGTTTCTGAGATTTTAACGTGTCACTCTGTTGCAGTTATTGACGTTACCATTGAGTTATTCCGGCGGCGATTAACCTCCTGTAGGATTGGACTAGCATGATTGGTCATTGTAGAGCAACTAATTTAAGGTTTTCGAACCCTGACTCCTGACTGGATCCTATCGATCGCCCACCAGGTTAGGAGGCTCAGCAACGCGCTGCATTTCGTTGAGTGTTAGTTGGTTAAAGATAATCAGAGGTCACTGGTCTCATAAACGGGTAACTGGTGACGTAGACTGCAACAATAAGTGAGGTGAGTTTGAATCTCAAAGCAGACATCAATTCTGTTTTACTTCTCTCTTGGGTTCCTAGTGGAACGTAGGGCTTCAGTACCACACCTCCATTGCACTCTGTCCTCTGCAGTCTTTTGAACCTGTCGCCACGACTGCCCACAAGCTTTTATTTCTTCCTCACATGATCTCCTTCATGTCACCCTTGACTCGGACGTCCAACTCGTCGTTTCCCCTTTGGATTCCACTCGAGCAACTGGCCTAGCGCGTGATGTCCCCAATCGGCCTTCTCAGTGTATGACCAATCCAATCCATCTCCACTTTCTTCTGCATATTTTTTGGGTGATAGGCTCTTGGTTGGTTCGTTCCCAGAGTTCCTTGTTGCTTATTCTTATTATTCTGGCCATCTGATATTCAGTATCGAGTGAGCGTGGGCGGCAGCTGTTGATGAATGTCTGTAGTTTGTTGGAAGTGCTTTTTGTGACGCACCAAGTTTCTGAACCATATAGAAGCACTGACTTACTTGACATTAGTGTTGAAAATCCGTGTCCTGTTCTTTGTGCTGAGTGCAGTAGATCCCGACTAGTGAAAGCCTGTCTTGCTGTCTTTCCGATCCGCCTGTAGTTGGAACGATGCTGCCTAGGCAGGTAGGTAGGTGAAAGAGACTACTTCCTTTAGGTTCCTCCCGTTAATAGTGATTGGTGCTTGTTTTTGATGATGTTGTTGCTTGGGTATCCTCATCACCTCCGTCTTCTCTGCATTCACTTGAGGTCCGGTCTTCGCTGCCTCTTCTGTCAACTTGTTAGTTCTCGCCTGTAGATCTTCGAGTTTGTGCTACAAGACATTCGACATAAATTGTCATAAGTGAAATCCAAATCTTTTTGGCTCTTCTCATCGGTCAAACAGCCAGCGTATGCCCGTCTACTCGCTCCTCATGGCTTGCTGCATGATCCAGTCGACCCCAATCAGGAAGATTATGGGTAATAGTAGGCAGTCTTGTCTTACTCCTGTCTTCACTTCAAAGGCGTCACTGAGCTTTCCATTGTGGATCACTTGGCATGTGGCGTTGTCATATGGCTGTTAAATGAGGTTGATAAAGATTTGTGGCACTGAAACCATAGTGTTGAAGCGACTGCCAAATTACTTCTCGGTCGACGCCGTCGAAGGCCTTTTCAAAATCCATGTAGTTGAGGTAAAGAGTTGCCATTCTATGGTCTGTTCTATGACGGTGTGTAGCGTAGCGTTGCAATTCGATCCGCACATGATTTGTTCTTCCTGAAGCCAGCCAGCCTGTTCCGGTCATAGTTTTGAAGCCAGCGCATCCTTTAGTGTCTCCAGGATGATGCGGCTTAATATTTTTGCTTGAGGTGGACAGCAGCATGATTCTTCACCAATTCTTACAAAGGCTTAGGTCTCCCTTCTTTGGGAGTTTGATAAGGTAGCCCTTCTTCCAATCTGCAGGTACCTTTACTTCCTTTCAAACCTTCTGCAGTAGTGGTTTGGGCATATCCGTTGTTGTCTCTGCTTCTGTTTCCAGTGCTTCTGGAGGAATTCCATCTGGTCCTCCTGCTTTCCCGGATCTCAACAGTTTTATGGCATTCAGGACTTCTGCTTTTGTCGGATGGCCTGTGTTCACTGGTAGTTCTGCTGTTGCTGGTGGTATTTCTGGACGAGTTGCAGGTGGTGGTCGATTCAATAGTTTTTCGAAGTGGCCAGCCCATCGTTTCCTTTGTCTCTCCTCTTTTGTAACTAGCTTTCCTTCACTATTTTTCATTTGCTTCGTCTGCGTTGATCTCTTCCCTCCCAGATAGTAACCTGGTTATTTGATACAATGTTGTCAGGTCTCTCCTACCAGCAGCCAGTTCTGCTTCGCTTGCCAGTGTATAGTAGAAGTATCTTTTGTCTTTGTGCGCACTCTTTTTCACTTCTTTGTCCAGTGTTGTGTACGTTGTGCTCAGTTCTTCTTTCCGTTGTGCATCTTTGCACTGGTTCATCCTCTGCTTCACCATCTTCCTCTTGTGTATCAGCTTCCATGTGTCCGTCGAGATCTGTTCCTTGTCTCGTTTCCTCTTCCTTCCTAGTACGGTTATGCAGATTCCAGGCGCTTCGATGCCATACCTCCTCATCTGCTTTGCAATCTGGGCAGCCTTGGTAGGTTCATACATGGTGCGGACATTGCATGTCCCCATCCTTACTTTCGCTTTCATCGAAAGAATACACATCGGCCGACTGGCTTCCCGAAGGCTTTCACCAACCGGGGTCATTTCGCCCCTCCGACTCCAGCGAGGAATAAGTTTTTTCTATTTTTTATTATTTCTTTGTGCTTTGAAGTTTCTTTGTCGATTGGACTGGTTTTTCGGGGTAGGGTTGCTAGCCGTATGCCCAACCTTCCCTCTTTATCCGGGCTTAGGCCCGGCTAGTAACTAATGCACTTTTTAACCAGGCGGGGTTAATCCGTGATGAATACTACCTATGAGTTAAAAATGCCTATTCATGTAAAAAAAATAATATTTGAGTAAACTGTTTGGTATTTTTCAGTAGGTGTGGTGGTTTCGTCTCCCGTAAATGTTGTTTGTGTTTGTCTGTTGTATCATATAGCATACTTGTATTTCGTTGTTAGAAAAATATTTTGCTACTCTCATAGTTGTTTTATTTAATCTTTACTTATTTTCTATTATTGCAGTATAAAGCAATTTTGGAAAATGGTAATTTTAGTTCAATATCAAGTTTGGTATCTATTGGGAATGGTGTAGATGATATCTGTAAGAGCCAACAGGTAGAAGATGAGGTTTCCAGAGAGATTTCTTGCCTAGATAGCGATAAGCTTATTGGTTTGATACCACCAGTAATGCATAGTAAATTACCAGTAAATGATGAGCAATCCAGTCAAAATTTAACCACTGATAACGTGTTACAAGTCAGAAATGATACAGATCTACTGCAAAGCACAAAACGCATTTTAGAGAAAACTGGTGATCGTCTGTCAACCCAATTGAAATCAAGTGGACTGCGTACGGGGAAAAATACCCATCATATCTATAGTAGTCAGAGAAAAACTGCTAGTTATCTAAGTAATTTATCACCAGAAAATGATAATCTCATGGATTTCATTCATCTTGTAGTACCAGAAGGAAAATCGTCAAATGAGCCTCAGGAAAGTAACTGCAGTTCAGATACTCAAAGTTATTCATCAGACGAAAACGACAATTCTGTGAATGAAAGTGAAGTGAATTTAGAAACTCGTGAACCTTTATTGAAATCAACTGGCAGTAATAGTGATGATGAGGCTAACGTTCCCAAATCTTCAGTTGATGATGAAAAAAAGAAATTAGGGGTGAGTTCTTCTGAAGCTTGCACATTAAATTCTCCTGGTACACAAAAACTACTGATGAGTGATTTTCGATTATTCGGTAAAGCAGGGACTTTTATACAACGACGTTTGTCTGTTTCTCTACATTGTACTCGTTGTCGGTTACCCTTCCAATGGATTTTCACTTTTCATGGAGCACAAAGGATGGATATTTTTAATAATCATAATATGACAGATCGATTTTTGCGTTCACTACCACCGTACACAGCAAATTGTGCACGTTGTCAACATAGTTTCAGCCTACTTTTTCAATCTAGCTTAGCTCATGGATTTGAAAAAATTGTTGGAACTTTACATCTAGAAGGTTGTATTGCTGATGACATTCCACCCAAGCAGTCAGATGCTTAAGTGACTTTCGATACTTGATTTCGAAGATATGAAGACCACTTGAGTTGATTTTGCTGGTCAAGATAATTCATGGAATGTTCGTCTCCTCCTTCGAAAACTTGGTCCATCCGAATTAGATCAGTATTGTAATATCATACTGCCACAGAACCCAAGAGACCGCTCCTTCGATGCCACTATACAAACCCTATGACAACATTTTGGTAATCACTCGTCTCTTTTGAATCCCAGATATCGTTGTCTTAAACTGGTCATGAACGAGAATAGTGATTTCCTCACTCATGTTGGTATTGTTAATCGCGAATGCGAAAAGTTCGAGCTGAAGTCCATCACCGGTGGCCATTTCAAATCTTTGATACTCATATGCAGCCTTCAGTCACCTAGATTCGCAGATAGTAGAATGAGATTGCTAAATCGGTTGGAGCAAGGACCAACACTAACGTTGAATGATATCGTTGCTGAGTATCAAAGATTGGTCAACCTGTAACGGGATAGTTTAGTCCAATTCGGACGCCAGGGTGATCATGAAGTGCATGCGGTTCGCCAGACATCTAATTCTTCTGCATCCTTTTCTGTCCAAAAGACCCCTGGTTCTTCGTCTCCTGTTCGTCATCCCAACACATCATACAATACCAAAAGAAACACGAAGAAGACCCCTCCATCCCCCTACTGGTATTGTGGTGCATGGCATTTCGTTAAATCTTATCCTTATAAGCAGAATAAATGCAGAGATTGTGATGTTGTGGGTCACAAGAATGGATTTTGAAAACAGCATTCATCACAAAGAACAGGCAGGTCACCATCCAGTCAACGTCGAAGGTCGAAGTCTTGTCCAGTCGGCAAATCTCTTAGTCTTACTGCTGCTTTTCAAGCACGCACCAGCACGGAGAAAATATATCACCGTTCAGATAAATAATCATTCAGTACGACTACAAGCCGACACAGCTTCCGATATATGATTATTTCCAAGAAGCTATGGTGAAAGGTTGGTCGACCTCCTGTCTAGAAGACTATACAAACTGCTATTAGTGCATGCGGTGACCGATTACCACTAACAGATCCGTTATCATGTACTGTATCTGCTCATGATACTTCGATAAATGGAATTTGTTATCTATATGGCGCTGATTGAAACCTCCTGGATTTCAATTGGTTTGAAAATGTTGGTCTTTCGGATACACCTCTACGTGCTGTTTGCAGTCAGACCAAGCGTCCGCTGACAATCGTTGATATAAGCCAATGTTCTCCAAATGTATTCAAACCTGGCCTCGGTCGCTGCGCAGTATTCCAAGCATTCCTCCGCTTTCAAGACGACGCCAAACCTGTTTTCCAGCCCAAGAGACCCGTGCCTTGTGCATCATTACCACAAATCGACACAGAAACCTCCCATCTGGGAAAACAAGGTGTTCTCACACCAGTTTCTTACTCTGCATGGGCGGCTCCTATTGTGGTTGTCAGAAAGCCAAGTGTCTCTATTCGCATATGTGCAGATTTTCCTACGGGACTTAATGCAGCACTGGAATAGCATCACTATCCACTTCCAATACCGGAAGGTATTTTTGCTGTTCTCAATGGCGGTACATGCTTCGCTAAAATTAACCTGGCTGACGCATATCTACAAATCGAGGTAGCACTAGAATGCCGAGAATTATTAACGATTAACATACATCGTGGATTATACCAGTTCAATCGCCTTCCATTTGGAATTAAAACAGCTCCAGTAATTTTGCAACAAATTATAGACATCATATTATCTGGCATACCCGGGGTAGCTGCGTATCTGAACGATATTCTCATTGTTGCGGCCTCCTCAGAACAGCTACAAAACCGACTAGATCAGGTACTAAAACGAATAAAAAAAATAACGGGTTCCGTCTTTGCCCTAAAAAAAAGTCAGTTCAACCTTCATTCAGTCAAATATCTGAGATTTATTTTTGATGCTTCCGGTCGCCGACCAGATCCCGAAAATATTCGTGCCATACAGCAAAATATCAGAACCAACTGATCATTTTTGAGACTGATTATGTATTATTCAACATTCTTACCCTCATTGCATGCTGTGAAGACGCCGTTAAGTCACCTGGGTAAAGGCGTTCCGTGGCAGTGAACCAAAGAATGTGCAACAGTCTTCTGTCAGCTGACGTCTGTGTTATCATCTGACCTTTTGCTGACCCACTATGATCCACAGTTCCCAATCGGTATAGCCGCAAATGCTTCGTCTCATGGAGTTGGGGCTGTTATCCTACATGTCTTCCCAGTTGATAAAGAGAAGGCCATCATGCATGCTTCCCGAACGCTGTTTATCCCAGAGCAGAAATATAGTCAAATTGATTAAGAATCCCTAGCCATTGTTTTCGCCGTCCGTCGTTTCCACAAGCTGGTCCATGGCCGCAAATTTACGCTATTAACAGACCATAAACCGCTGCTGGTTGTTTTTGGTTCAAAATCTGGTGTTCTGGTTCACTCTGCAAATCATCTGCAACGATTGGCCTTAATGTTATTAAAATATGATTTTGACTTTCAGTTCGGATGCACCCAAGAGTTTGGTCAAACCGACGCCTTGTCCCGTCTTATAAGCGAATATCTTACGACCGACGAATAAAAAGTTGTTGCAAAAGTTTCGACAGAAGATTTCGCAGCTTTTCAATTAACTGCAACCATCAGAGCGCTTCCAGTCACCGCAGACGATATCTAGACGGCTACACACAAGCACAAACACTACAGCGTGCACTCCAGTTTTTTTCTCACCCAATGGCTGAAAGAAACGTTCATAGGTGATCTCCAACAGCTACATCATTGCCGAAACTCCCTGTGTATTGTCAGCGGTTGCCTCATGTTTAGAAACCGGATCATAGTCCCTACATCTCTTCGTGACCAAATCCTAAATCAATTTCATTCGGGTCACCCAGGTACCGAATGCATGAAGTCAATCGCTTGCAGCTACGTGTATTGGTCGCGGATGGATCAACAAATCAGACTATATCAACCGGTGTTCAGAATGTCAACAAGCCGCCAAGCATCCTCCACAAATATTACTCATGCCCTGGCCAGATCCCGAACGCCCATGGTCAAGAGTTCATGTTGATCTCGCCGGACCGATTGATGGAAACCATTCCCTTATTTTGGTAGACGCCGACTCAAAATGGCCAGAAATCTAACTTATCAATCCGCCGAATACTACAAGAATGTTAAAAACCCTCTCTAATATCTTCTGTTGCCACTGCCTTCCAGAAACTATCGTCTCGGACAACGGCCCTCAGTTTACCTCTACGGAATTTAAAGACTTCTGTCGTTGACGTGCCATACAACATTTGCTATCACCACCATATCACCCTCAGTCCGATGGGAAAGCGGAGTGTTTCATCGATACGTTCAAAACGGCTATACTGAAGGCACGGGGAGAAGGTACATCACTGGACATAATTCAAAACTTCCTACTTATATACCGAACAACAGCAACTGACTCACTCCCAGATCATCACAGTCCACCAAAAGCACTAATGGGGAGAAAGTTACGTTCAACCCCATGATTCTATAATCCCGAAAGAACGGGAAAAAGGTTACCAGCAGGTCAAAAGTATTTCGAGATGGAAACGCCAGTATTCGCCAGAGACTACAGACCGGGACATAAAAATGGGTTGAAAGAGTAATTATCGGCAAACCCGGCTGCGTGTTATATGATGTCGCAGTGGGAACAGAGACTTGGACGCGACGTAAAACCCAACTAAGATACCGAGCACAACCAGTCAAAGAAACAAAACCCAACATCACCTCACTAGAAATCCTACTGGATATGTTCGCGGTACCACGCATGGAAGATGCTCAAGAAACCACAAGACCTCCGATAAACAAAGAACTACTACCCCGAAGTTGGTCAGATCAGCGCAGAAATCGGACACTTCATTTCGAGCTGGATCCCAAGTAAAAACCCAATTTTTTTCAGAAAAAGGAGGAGATGTTAGGGATGACTAATCTCCAAGAAAACCAACTTATAATATTTTTATATTATCATTGCGAAGTTCAAGGCTTATCTTCACACCATTTTTGTGCTATGTTGTGTTTCTTATTTCTACCTCAGTTTAGGTTACTAAACGCTGATTGGTCCATTTTACACCTTGAATATGCCATTTTGTTTTCTCTAGACAAAGCCATTTAAGGGTGTACAAACGACTGAGTTTTCGCTTATTATTATTCGGTTGGAGCAAGTAAACTTTCAATCCCATCGTCTTCTGGTGTCAGCAGAATATCGAGTTGAGAGGTCATCGTTCTATCGTTAATCGTATCGTCTCAGAGCGTTGTAGCGTTATCTATAATGTTGAATCGTAACAAATTCCTCTGAGAATGCAACTTCGTCTTGCTGACGAGTGCCAACAAGCATGAAATATAGGTTCAGGGTTTCATATCCATTGCGACCAACAAAATGTACTGCGGCGGTGAGCCTCCTAGCACAATGACCACGTTTCAAAATGATTAGTATAATTCGATCAACACTCAGGAATAGACTGTGAAATTGATTACTGTCCAGTCAGAAATCAATGCAGATTCATTCCCTTTCAAGTTATACGAAAGTGCTTTACAATTGGTGCAAAGCAATCAGCTTACGTGCACCGATCACCAAAGAACTTGGTACATTTTGAGTAACCGCGTGTTATAGCCCAACGCAGCAGGATTTTCTTTATACTATGTGAATAAAGGATCTACGTTATTAAAACATACATTTCAGAGCGGTCTATAGGATGCCACCAAAGTTGAAATGTAACGTGTCAGTAAACTTTAGGAGGTACATGGTAACTGTTAGCAGTAGATTTCCGCTAAACAAGAATATTATAAGAAATATCTTCTGAATTACATTTTTGGAATGTAAACTTTGTATTTCGCTTTTTTTTTAAAACTTGCTCATATATGTTATTATTTGCAGTTCAAATGCCTTACACACCTGTTTGCCATTACTACCAGGCTGGTTGTTGCCGAAAGGGAGACGAGTGTACTTTTGTGCATCCAAAAGTTCGTTGTCGTACTTACGCTGCTGATGGCTGGTGTCCTTACGGTTACAACTGTCATTTTTGGCATGATCCATCTGTTAAATCAAATGTCAGTTTAACGAAAAAGCCATGTCAATTCTTTGCAAATAATCAGTGTAAATATGGCGACAAGTGTAGTTTTTCTCACGATATTGATAGCGAACAAAATAATGGGGTCACCTTAGAAGAATATCGTGCTGCGAAAAAGTTGGTTGAATTATGTATCAGTAACCAGTCTTCAGCGTCTGCAAATACCGAAACCTCAGCCTGGACATTAGTTGAATGCAGCTCTGAACCTAATATCGCAAGGATTTCATCAACGTTACTTTCTGAGTCTTCCAACAAGAACATGACTTCAGCACCTATTTATGTGAATAATCAAAATATTGTAAGCTGTGTAAAACAACACTATGGAAAGCCTACCTCTGTAAGGATACTTAAGTATCAAGGTGTTTCAAAAGACGAAGTTGTCAAATTAAGTCATCTTGAGATCGAACGGCTAAAAAAGTACTATCCTCCGGAAAAGTTACGTGAGATCGAATCAACTAAGGATTATCAAACGTTTTGCATCAGATTTTCTGCAACTGATCCTGGATGGGTAGGATTTTTTATTGATACTTAAATTACATTAGAATGGTTATAGCAGTGACCATTTATTTTTATGATTTCTGCTAAAGGTTGCGTAATCTCTTTGATAAATTCGTTGGCTTATATAATATGTGGTTCGAATACGTTGGTAGATAAATGTTTAAAACTATTGCCCACTGACTTGTCGTTCTACTGTAACACTTCACTGACCTTAGAATTACCATTTTGTTAGCCTCTGCACAGAGGATGGTCATTTCCATCTACTTATAGTTTAAAAACCTGGAGTTTCACTTTATGTAGTAAATGTGCATCTCTAACCCAGTATGAAGCGAAATTGTTTCTCAGACGCTTGTATTTAACGACACAGTTTTTAAATTGGTAGTTGTACACTTATTATTATACTTTATTTACTTATTTTACACTACTGGCCAATGATCCTCTTCACTAGTAATTAAATATCGTCATCAGCTTCTACGCAATAGCATTTTATTCACAGCATTTCAAGAGAACCTTTGCTTGACCTCATTCTTTTGCCACGTTATAAATCTATTCACTTTCTCATTGAACTGTACTATAGTGAGAATGTTTCGTCTTTGGTATGTGTAGATCCATCAAATAAATACGATAAGTCTAGTCCATCGTTATTTTGACTAGTGAAATCTTATAACATTTTGATTACTCCTTGTTCACTCCCTTAATATCATAGCATGATGAGGATGCAAAACGTTCACTTTTGTTGTAGAAATATTCTTATACTGCTTTGTGTTCACAACATATTCATGTGGCAAGAATGTTTCTACTAAAGTGAGAAGATTGAAATAAATGTCTTGAGTTTATTCGCAGGTTGTTGGATATGCATAGAGCACCTAGGGGACTCTTGTTTTCAAATCTTAGGCTTCAAAACAATGAAGATACAAATGGAATATGAATCTATTCTGGTGTCATAACCAGTTATTTACTTTATTTTCATCATATTATTGGTGTTGTCATCGTTATTTCCCTCTGTTAATCGCCATTGTTTGAAATTATGGTCTTTCCCTACTATTTTAGGCAATGAATTAGTCTTCCTGAAGTTGTCAGCTGATGTGACCCACACAAGGGCTTGTCTAGAAATTACAGAGTTCTGGCGAGAGATGCTTGCTGTTCGATTTGGTTATAGAGTTTGGACGTTAAAAGCTTCACTGTGAAGTCGACAGCGCGACTTTAGGAAAATAGGAGTGGTGTCTAAATGGCTTGGATTATTGAAAGTAAGCCCAGAGCTAAATTCTAAGGACGTACTTAGACGTTTGATATTGGTATCAAGAAGTAAAGACGAAGGAAAAAAGAAAGTTAAGGAGGGTAGATTATGGTTGATCGGGTTTTCTATGCTACCGGGAGCCTGTGGGCAGTTGACACTTCCTGGTTGCCCACACCGTGGAAGGCTAACTTTCCTTGAGGTACCTAAAACAGAAGAGGTAGTGCATGACCGCAAAATCCAAAGGCTATCTGCTTGAAGCCAGTCACACAGCCATTTTAGAGGTTACAGATTCAAGCATGTTAGTTTTGAATCTGACTATGAATCCATATGGCCGGAACTGATATGTCACGAACACGACAATGTGCTATATTAAGGGCTGAACAACCCTAGCCTGTTTCTTCCCTTAGGGAAAGCAACATCAGCACTGAACAGCCTTCTGTATCCACTTGTTCTTTGCATGCTACTATGAAGTTAAACCGATGCATTTGTGTGCAAGGTTTTGCTTTGATTTTGTCGCTCTATTGTCCTAAGGATTTCTTAGTTATTGGTTAGGGAAACGGTATTCACGGTAATCTGCCACAATTCGTTCGAGTGGCGGCACTCGTACAAATGGTGAACCTTTGGTGATGTGGTTTCCAATTTTTGCATGCACGACTTTTGTGCCAGTGTCTTGACTAAAATATTTGTTTTAAATATTCAGAATTATGGTATTATCTGAAGCAATATCCTATATAGAATCAGTAAACCAGTGTGGGGTGTTCGGTTTTCGATATTTCTACAAGTTTGCTGTTAGTTGTTTTCATTTCAGCTTCCTAATATGAATTATGAACTAACTAGTGAGACTGGTCTTTAAGAATAGTCGAAAGTTGTAATTGAAGATATTGAGTAGTATAGCTCAGTTATTACCAGGTGCGTTACAAAATGTAGGAATTTTTCTTCTCTTAATATTTTGTCTTGATTTCCTGCCTAATTCTTCTTCCCTTTACACAATACATTTCACCGTGAACTGATTAGGAGATTTGTGGTTATTTGACTTAACTGTTGTAAAAGAGGTGTCTGTTCATTGTTTCGACATCGACACTCATAAATTTCTGAGACGTTATGTAGCTGGTATGCAAGCATCTACTGATTTATTCTACATATATTACATCAGTTATGTTATAGGATTCTCTTTCTACTTCATTAATGATTATTCATCTAAAGACTATTGTTACTCATTAAAGTCTCCTGAAATGTAATGTTGATTCATTTTTCGTCTTTTAGGTCTATGATGTACGTGAGGTTTTGTTGAATATCACTATTCCACACTTGTACCCAAAAAAACCGCTTCAAATTACGGCAATAATGCAAGACAATTTGCCGACTGTCTTAGTTGAGTGAGTAGTAACTAATACATATTTTCGTATCATTCAAGTCGATTCTATTAAACCTTCATAGTCATATATGTGTATACGTTGTTTTTGTGATGTAACAGATATCTGAATAAGTCAATCGCTTCGTGGATTAGATATAAACACCAATATTTTGAACGGATGCAACGTATAGAGCTTTATCTTCGACCCTTCTTTCTTTGGTTCGACCGTAATCTTGAAGAATTGTTTACTGAAGGTTTACGCAAAGTAAGTTTGTTTTATATGCTGATTTGCTGTGTTTATTAAGTGTTCTTGATAGTAAAATCAGTTATGTAATCTCTTAGTTTCATTAACGGAATGTATGTTATATCTAGGTATCCAGGTATATGTGTATATTTTGGGACTTTTGTGTTTTGTTGTGATATATACAATAGTGATAGAATTTACTGTGATGGTATACAGAAAGAGAGTAATTGACCGAGAAATCGCACGTAAATAAGGTTTCAAACTAGGTTGCTAACATTATAAACACTCAGTTCACATTTTATTTCATCTGCGATCTTTTTTAGTGCGGGATTTAAAGTTTAGAATCACATACTAGTTCTAGTTTCTTACTTAATGATATCATGCGTTCAGTCTTCACGATCTTCTGACTAAAGATTTTGAAAACTGCTTTTTAAGTTTCTTCGAAATCCTCATTAATAAATGGATTTCTTGAGTTATATCTAAACAGTGTTTTTCTCCACTAAAAGTGACCCTTTGTCATCAGTTCATCTAAATGACTTTTCACAATTGCAATTTTGAAAATAAAATTGTAATTACGTAATACAGGTAAAATCCTACTGTATCATAGATTTGAATTTTATGATGAATGGCGACACCGTACTTCTATTTTTTACTGGTTAAACTGTGTACTGAAGATTGCATTTCGTTCTGTCAATTAAGTTTTCTTGCGATGGACAAGATTCTTCCCATAAGATTACGACAGACCATCAGTTGTATAATTTCTGTTTTGATATTCAGAAGCTTAGTGTTATATCCTTATCCCCACCTGTTATACCCTTGTCATATATATATATATATATATATATATATATATATATATATATATATATATATATATATATATATATATATATATATATATATATATATATATATATATATATATGGATACTTGAATAACTTTCAGATTCCACCCCGCTGATGGTTTCTCAGATTCTCTGTAAGTGCAAAAGGCGGTAAGATAACAGAAGGTGTTCTAACGCCCTAACATGTGCCAAACACGACTATTTATAAATATTTACAATGGTCTTGGCTAATTCTGGGCCTTTCTAGATTAAAATATCCTACTGATTTTTGTCTCATCAACCAGTCTGGTAATTTACACGTTTTAGTTCACGTGTAGGTAAAAGTCAGTCATAGTCGGAATGAACTCAGAGACCATTTACATGCTGATGCAGCAGGTAATGAGCCACATCTTTTCTGTGAAAGATTGTGATACTACTTACAGGGGGTGTTTGAACCTGTGACCTGTCGGTTGCTATTCGAGTGCGTAAGTAAGTCAGTGAGCCACAGTTCTACGAAAGAAAACTAGAAGTAATTAGTCGGTCTTTACAAAACTTTCGGAGTATACAGCAATGATTTCACGAATGGATAATGATCAAACTCAGTGGAATAAAAGTTGATGATTGTTAGATTGCCAATGGTAAGCCATTTACAGAAGGATTTAATTTTCAAGACTGATGACCAAGGTCACTCATCACTCGTCGTGGTAAGATTTCGTAAAGCTGAATCAAAGTGTTGTATCGGTAGCCAGAAAGAATGAAAATCACATCCAATCAATTATTAATATCCTTCATATTTCTGTTTTTGTTCTTATTCTGTCACATTCTGATTAGACCGTCTACTCTTTAAGGCCTTGTACAATTCTAATATATTTTGCTAAACATAAATAATTGTCCATCGTGTGGACTGGTCATCTAACTTCATATTCTCTCTGAGTCAGCTGGTGTAACTTTAGTGTCGGTGTGATCAACTCGAACATAGCAACTCGGCGGATAATAAGAGTTAGGACCAATGTTTGTAAATTCCCCTCAATCCGTCAATCATAAAACCTAATAGGAAACCCGAACCGGGGTTACGACCAATACATGGGCTGGACCGTCAAGAAGAGGATACAAATAAAACAAATACAAAAAGTACCAACTTTGAATGTCTAGCGGAATGCAAGCTTTGCTTTATTTTTCCAGTACGTACGCGACTAGTTTACATTGCTCACATATGTGAAAAAAAAGGATCATAAACAGTAATTTGGCTGGACGTGTATCAAAACAGACACTTGCATAAAAACTAAGAAAGGAGATAACCATTATACTACACTTATTTGAAATATGCAACTAAGTTTCTTTTTGCTATTTTTAATCATTTGTAGACAGAAAGCATGAATTAATATCCATTTTTGTCACCATCAAAGCATGACTGGTAATCGTTAAACTGTTACAATATTTATGCACCCATATTTTTGACTTTGCTTATACTCTCAGTGAGTTGGAATGAAATCAGTTTTCATGCATTTACCCCACCCCCCTTATAATTTAGGCAAACTAAAACAAAAGTTATACTTGTCGACTAAACGGAATTCATTTTTCTAATTCTCGGCTTCTCATTACCTACAAACATCCTATTATTAATATATTATTATTTTTCCCTTGAATTCCTAGTGGAACGTAGGGCTTCAGTACCCCACCTCCATTGCACTCTGTCCTCTGCAGTCTTTTGAACCTGTCGCCACGACTGCCCACAAGCTTTTATTTCTTCCTCACATGATCTCCTTCATGTCACCCTTGACTCGGACGTCCAACTCGTCGTTTCCCCTTTGGATTCCACTCGAGCAACTGGCCTAGCGCGTGATGTCCCCAATCGGCCTTCTCAGTGTATGACCAATCCAATCCATCTCCACTTTCTTCTGCATATTTTTTGGGTGATAGGCTCTTGGTTGGTTCGTTCCCAGAGTTCCTTGTTGCTTATTCTTATTATTCTGGCCATCTGATATTCAGTATCGAGTGAGCGTGGGCGGCAGCTGTTGATGAATGTCTGTAGTTTGTTGGAAGTGCTTTTTGTGACGCACCAAGTTTCTGAACCATATAGAAGCACTGACTTACTTGACATTAGTGTTGAAAATCCGTGTCCTGTTCTTTGTGCTGAGTGCAGTAGATCCCGACTAGTGAAAGCCTGTCTTGCTGTCTTTCCGATCCGCCTGTAGTTGGAACGATGCTGCCTAGGCAGGTAGGTAGGTGAAAGAGACTACTTCCTTTAGGTTCCTCCCGTTAATAGTGATTGGTGCTTGTTTTTGATGATGTTGTTGCTTGGGTATCCTCATCACCTCCGTCTTCTCTGCATTCACTTGAGGTCCGGTCTTCGCTGCCTCTTCTGTCAACTTGTTAGTTCTCGCCTGTAGATCTTCGAGTTTGTGCTACAAGACATTCGACATAAATTGTCATAAGTGAAATCCAAATCTTTTTGGCTCTTCTCATCGGTCAAACAGCCAGCGTATGCCCGTCTACTCGCTCCTCATGGCTTGCTGCATGATCCAGTCGACCCCAATCAGGAAGATTATGGGTAATAGTAGGCAGTCTTGTCTTACTCCTGTCTTCACTTCAAAGGCGTCACTGAGCTTTCCATTGTGGATCACTTGGCATGTGGCGTTGTCATATGGCTGTTAAATGAGGTTGATAAAGATTTGTGGCACTGAAACCATAGTGTTGAAGCGACTGCCAAATTACTTCTCGGTCGACGCCGTCGAAGGCCTTTTCAAAATCCATGTAGTTGAGGTAAAGAGTTGCCATTCTATGGTCTGTTCTATGACGGTGTGTAGCGTAGCGTTGCAATTCGATCCGCACATGATTTGTTCTTCCTGAAGCCAGCCAGCCTGTTCCGGTCATAGTTTTGAAGCCAGCGCATCCTTTAGTGTCTCCAGGATGATGCGGCTTAATATTTTTGCTTGAGGTGGACAGCAGCATGATTCTTCACCAATTCTTACAAAGGCTTAGGTCTCCCTTCTTTGGGAGTTTGATAAGGTAGCCCTTCTTCCAATCTGCAGGTACCTTTACTTCCTTTCAAACCTTCTGCAGTAGTGGTTTGGGCATATCCGTTGTTGTCTCTGCTTCTGTTTCCAGTGCTTCTGGAGGAATTCCATCTGGTCCTCCTGCTTTCCCGGATCTCAACAGTTTTATGGCATTCAGGACTTCTGCTTTTGTCGGATGGCCTGTGTTCACTGGTAGTTCTGCTGTTGCTGGTGGTATTTCTGGACGAGTTGCAGGTGGTGGTCGATTCAATAGTTTTTCGAAGTGGCCAGCCCATCGTTTCCTTTGTCTCTCCTCTTTTGTAACTAGCTTTCCTTCACTATTTTTCATTTGCTTCGTCTGCGTTGATCTCTTCCCTCCCAGATAGTAACCTGGTTATTTGATACAATGTTGTCAGGTCTCTCCTACCAGCAGCCAGTTCTGCTTCGCTTGCCAGTGTATAGTAGAAGTATCTTTTGTCTTTGTGCGCACTCTTTTTCACTTCTTTGTCCAGTGTTGTGTACGTTGTGCTCAGTTCTTCTTTCCGTTGTGCATCTTTGCACTGGTTCATCCTCTGCTTCACCATCTTCCTCTTGTGTATCAGCTTCCATGTGTCCGTCGAGATCTGTTCCTTGTCTCGTTTCCTCTTCCTTCCTAGTACGGTTATGCAGATTCCAGGCGCTTCGATGCCATACCTCCTCATCTGCTTTGCAATCTGGGCAGCCTTGGTAGGTTCATACATGGTGCGGACATTGCATGTCCCCATCCTTACTTTCGCTTTCATCGAAAGAATACACATCGGCCGACTGGCTTCCCGAAGGCTTTCACCAACCGGGGTCATTTCGCCCCTCCGACTCCAGCGAGGAATAAGTTTTTTCTATTTTTTATTATTTCTTTGTGCTTTGAAGTTTCTTTGTCGATTGGACTGGTTTTTCGGGGTAGGGTTGCTAGCCGTATGCCCAACCTTCCCTCTTTATCCGGGCTTAGGCCCGGCTAGTAACTAATGCACTTTTTAACCAGGCGGGGTTAATCCGTGATGAATACTACCTATGAGTTAAAAATGCCTATTCATGTAAAAAAAATAATATTTGAGTAAACTGTTTGGTATTTTTCAGTAGGTGTGGTGGTTTCGTCTCCCGTAAATGTTGTTTGTGTTTGTCTGTTGTATCATATAGCATACTTGTATTTCGTTGTTAGAAAAATATTTTGCTACTCTCATAGTTGTTTTATTTAATCTTTACTTATTTTCTATTATTGCAGTATAAAGCAATTTTGGAAAATGGTAATTTTAGTTCAATATCAAGTTTGGTATCTATTGGGAATGGTGTAGATGATATCTGTAAGAGCCAACAGGTAGAAGATGAGGTTTCCAGAGAGATTTCTTGCCTAGATAGCGATAAGCTTATTGGTTTGATACCACCAGTAATGCATAGTAAATTACCAGTAAATGATGAGCAATCCAGTCAAAATTTAACCACTGATAACGTGTTACAAGTCAGAAATGATACAGATCTACTGCAAAGCACAAAACGCATTTTAGAGAAAACTGGTGATCGTCTGTCAACCCAATTGAAATCAAGTGGACTGCGTACGGGGAAAAATACCCATCATATCTATAGTAGTCAGAGAAAAACTGCTAGTTATCTAAGTAATTTATCACCAGAAAATGATAATCTCATGGATTTCATTCATCTTGTAGTACCAGAAGGAAAATCGTCAAATGAGCCTCAGGAAAGTAACTGCAGTTCAGATACTCAAAGTTATTCATCAGACGAAAACGACAATTCTGTGAATGAAAGTGAAGTGAATTTAGAAACTCGTGAACCTTTATTGAAATCAACTGGCAGTAATAGTGATGATGAGGCTAACGTTCCCAAATCTTCAGTTGATGATGAAAAAAAGAAATTAGGGGTGAGTTCTTCTGAAGCTTGCACATTAAATTCTCCTGGTACACAAAAACTACTGATGAGTGATTTTCGATTATTCGGTAAAGCAGGGACTTTTATACAACGACGTTTGTCTGTTTCTCTACATTGTACTCGTTGTCGGTTACCCTTCCAATGGATTTTCACTTTTCATGGAGCACAAAGGATGGATATTTTTAATAATCATAATATGACAGATCGATTTTTGCGTTCACTACCACCGTACACAGCAAATTGTGCACGTTGTCAACATAGTTTCAGCCTACTTTTTCAATCTAGCTTAGCTCATGGATTTGAAAAAATTGTTGGAACTTTACATCTAGAAGGTTGTATTGCTGATGACATTCCACCCAAGCAATCTGATGGTATTATTTGGTGTACTGGCTGTTTCAGTTCCGTACGAATCAATGTAAGTTTGCTATTTTCCCCCTGGATGTCCTTAATACTCCATTATGTCTATCTTAGTCATAACTATTACGTTGGACTATAGAACTGACGATTCATATTGAACCGGTGAATTTTTAGTGTGAATCTCCTGTTTATTGTGCTATCAAAGTAGTTATTTGAGCGGATTACGACTACACAATTAAGTACAACTTCTTATTTTAAAAGCTATACAAACTAAGTATATTACCGAGAACTGGTGTTAAGCACCATTGATCGCCTTGATCCTGAAATCCACCTTACTTTCAGCTTAGGTTGTCGTATATACATAACATGGTGTGATGTGAAATATGTTGAAAAAACAGAAAGTTAATTGTAAGGCTACAACTGTAAGGTGTTTAGTTTTCACCGGAATCTCAAATTCAGGTACGATGCATGAAATAGTTCTTTGTCATCCACCCTACTTTCCTACCAGCACCATTAGTTTAGGGCATATAAAAATTCGACAATTCAGAAAAATCTTAAATATATAGCCTCTTCATCTGATTGGCGCTCAGTGTACACACTTTATTCACTAATTTACTGCTCAAAACAAATTGGTTTATGTCCAGGTTTAACACAGGCTACCCACCGAATATTGTGAGAATTGTTTTGAAATAATTTCTAGGAGTCAGGATATTGTAGATTGCAGTGATCTATAAGCTATTAAATTTCCATGGAAAATTACTAATATTATTTGTTTGTAGGCAAATAATTCTCATAGATGGACAGACAGAATCGATGTAGAACCCCACACATAAGTGCATCACTTTAAGTTACCACACTTCATAGTAGTACGCAAGGAACAAGTGGATAAGAAAAGAGTGACAAAGTTGTGAGAGAACAAATAATTTGAAGATAACGGTTAGTGTAAACACTCAAGCGAATAAATCTGTCCCACTGTGACCAGTTTTCGGCCATGTCATCAAGAAACCTCAACCACTGGTTCCCATCGTCTCGGGGACCCCAGCTAGGTATTCTGCATCTCCCTATACAGCTCAAACCAACGTTCAGAGACTTCATTGACTGACCACTCTGTGCAGTACATGTCCAATCCATCTCAGTCGACTAAGGTTCACAACCTCATAACACGCTACTGCTTTAAATAACCGCTCACCATGATATTGATTTGGGACCTGGATACTAAAGTTGGGCGTTTGGGACTAGATAAAGTCAACGAGGAGATCAGTGAAGAATACGATTAAGTTGAATAGTGAAAAATATCTAACACAGTCTAGCAAACGACTCGGCATCCTCTGGCTCTTATTCAAGCCTCAACTACTAAAATATATAACATTGTAATCAGTCAATAAGGTATGTACAAAATTCCGTCCGCCTGTAGCTATTTGTGAAACCTTACTTCACACTTATGCCATCAGCTGATGAAATCATTCATAGCTGCTTTGCAGATTTGGAATTATTCGCTATCATCGTGTACATTCACGAAGTATCACATCCAAAATATTATCTGTTATACCGGACCAAAGAAACGAAAATAAGAACCTCAGACAAGCCTTATCAGCCTTATTATTTTGTTTATGTTATAAGGCATTTTACATAAGATTTATTTCATATTAGTACCGTATAGCTCAGCTCAAAAACTTTCTACTGACCTCTCACCCGATTCAGCACGATTCACTGTTGCGAAATAATTGCATTTCTAATGAAGTCAATTATTGTTCATTGTCCCATTTTGTATGTATGAAATTATTTCATTTTTATGAATTATAGTTTATCGTGGACATGTAATTCAATTGTTCAGATGTATTAGTCGAAGCACACAGAATATGAAGGTGGAAGATCGTTAGTTTTTGTCTTCTACTGTAAGGTGGATTGGGGAAAACAGACTGTTATTTCAAGGGCAGATAGTTAGAGATCGATTATGTCAGCACATGAAGAAATAATGCATCAAGATGACAGATAAAAAAAATAAATAGGAAAGCAGACAGATTGACAAAATCTGTCGATACATCTGTGCTACTGAGATTGGTTATTCTCCATATCTGGTGTCACTAAGCACCCGAAGCAGAAGAAGTAGCAATCTTCCACTGACCCTCTCCAACGATAACTGGAAGCAATATGGTCTATCTGTGCCCACCGTTGAGTTGAAGTCGGTGGACACTACAGGCAATGTTTCTTTTTATGTTTGAAATTGGTACTGACTAGAAATAGGTGGTTGTTTGAGTACAGTTGTACCAGCCGATTGCTGCTATTTGTTGTTTCTGCCACGTAAGTGCCTTCGTGTCTGACTTAGCCATCTTATGTGTGCATTGAAATCACCTGCAACCACAACCACATCTGAAAGTTTGGCTTTCCGTAGAAAGTCAGATGGTTTTTGGTGTAACTCATCCGAACTGCAATCCGAGGGTACGTAAGTAGAAATTACAGAGGGACAGTAGAGTGTTTCACTATTCTTTACTATGTCAATCTATCGAATAACTCGCGGGTGACTGTCAACCGGTGTTCAGTTAATGTACTTCCTGCCTCTGCCTTACCATATGCCTACACTAGCGAGACCGCGTGAACTAGCCACAGAATCTTGAGAAAACTGGAGTGAATTTTGCAGATTCATGATATTTGCCATCCATCCATCCGAATCATCATAGGACCAGGCATTACTGCGTAACGGCCCGAGTTACTACAGCTCATATAAGTACAGCAAGTAAAAACGTAGTGAGGTGGACGATGAAGGAAAGAAAATTCAGTCAAAAGAAACACAAAGTACCAAAAAAGAGAAAGGAAGAATGAGGGAATGGTGAGATTCGGTATGGCGTCGTTAAAATGAGGATAATGTGTGTATATATACATCTGCGCCACTGACATCGGTTCTGAGCCATATCGCCTAGTCTCCAATCACTGGTTCCTCTTGCCCCACGGACCCCAACCACTTAGTCTGCATCACCCTACATGGCTCAAACCAACAATCAGAGACTTCATACATTGATGCCATGTTTTAGTCTGGCCACCTCGGGCCTTTTTCCAGCCTGGATTCTGCGGATTCTTATCTCTGTCGAAGGCTGCAGAGCTAGGAGAAATTGAAGATGATGTAGTGTCGTTAATTGAGAGACGTGAAGTAAGATTAGGAGGTAATGATGAGGGAGGTGGATAGCATTCTGAAGGAGCTTGAGTGCGGACAGAGTTGTGAGGGCGATTGACACTTCCTGGCTGCCCACACCGTGGAATGCTATTCCTTCTTAAGGTGCCTGAAAGAAAATGGTGTAACCGCAGAGCCCGTTGAACATCTGCTTGAGGCACGCGCACACACGCAGCTTTTTTGTATGGTTGTTTTGGGGCCGGATGATCGAAAAGAAGCGACAAATGTACCAACACCGCCGGCCCGGCAGACTGTGGGGGGGGGTATGGTGGAGTGTGTTATTTTTGGTGCCGACCTTTTCTAACGCCCTCTTCCAGCATCAGGATGGCACTGCTGGTCATCTGAGAGAAACACCTAACTGCTGTCACGCCTCATCCAGCTAGCAGCAGTATGACTTCTCCCTCAGACCCCATCATAGTGTAGTAATTTACATTACAACGGTAGCTGCTTTTCGTCTAACCCACTATCCAACAGACCTTTATGGTATGGTAAGACCTCGAGGGAACAAGTGTTCCACGAGCATAGCTCGTTGGGTCATTGTGATATGCAAACCCGACCACCACGTCAACGTAGCAGCTATCGGTTGGGGATGATATTTGCCAGGAAAGGTTAAGTGAATAACTGTACCTAAGTCCTATATACCTGTCTCACAAACACAATACATCCATTACTCGAGATGTCAGAGTTTCGTTTAGCGAAGCTTGTTGATTGACTTGATGGAGGGTTCGGACATTGAAAGCTCCAATGCGTAGTTTGGAGCGCATTTTCAAGAGACCGAAGGATGTTGTTACATCAGTTGGAATCGTTATTAAGAGCTGCATAGCTGGAGGAAATGAGAGATGACGTAGGACTATGGATCGAGTGATGTAAGCAAAGAATATGGCCCAAAGATGTGGAACGATGGCAATGATTTGACAAAACTTGGATATGGGTAATATTAAGATATCGGGGTTTTGTCGCTATGTGAGTGACAGAGCATTACTGCAGGCAACTTTTTTGTGGTTAATTTCATTCGTTGGCTAGGTAAGTCGACCGCCAGTTGATACTGTAGGTGTCAGAAAGCTAATGCGACTTTGAAAGATGAATTACAGTACAATTTTTTGATTTTGTAATCTTATATGGAATTACATTCCAACATAGTGCCCAATTTTTACAATAATGTAAAGTGTCATTCCCTGTCTGGAATGCTGTTTTGTCAACAGCTGTGGAGCAGGAAGAAATCAACTAGGATTGAATCAGAAATAATGATCAAGCACAAATTCAGATAAAGAAGGCTTCACACATGACAATGCATTTGTTTGTAACTGGAGCTGCCACCTATTTGTGTAGGTATTCCATGCCTAACCAATAGGTGGCGTGTTCCATATACCGATGCCTGCATAGCCAGATGGTATAATCAGCTCTTGAACAGAAGTGTGTACGGTCACTGAGTGCATTTCCATTTGATTTATTTGTAAACAACGTTTCCACTATTTTCATGATGATAGACAAGTATGTGATCTATGAATAGACAATAAATTAGACCTCGTAGCTCAGTTGGTAGAGCATCGGGCCGGAAACCCGTTGGTCATTTGTTCGAGTCCGTTCGCGGTTCAGATTTTCATTTCACCTTCAATCATCACCTAGTATAGACAGTAGATTGTTTTTTTTTAAAAACCTTATTTCGTAAAGAAAACATTTTGCGAATTGCTAGTGTAGTTAGTGGGTGCTGCTGATCAGAATGGATATAAGTAGTATATGTTGAGAAGGCGACAGAAGTCACAGGCAATTACCAAGAGTGGGTGAGTATTCTGCTCAAAGAAACGAGCAAATCGAGATAGGAGAAAAAGAAGAAATGAAGCACATTATGCAAATGACTATTTTAATGGAAAGTTTACACTATTTCATTAGTACTGTACAAAATGTCATAATGAGCATTCTGTCCTGCGTCTCAGTCTTTGTCATTTCTTAAGTTTCAGGTAAAATGAGACAAGAAGACCAGTTCTCCAGTCTCGAATATTAGTTTTGTAGAGAAGAGTCACTGCCATGACAGTCCATTGTTGTTTTCAATCTACTGACTCAGATTATATTCTATTATTGATTGAGAATCACATATTTTTGCAGTTTTTCAGTGTTAAATCACGTGAACTAAAGCCAAACGAATCATTCGTATACAACTGGTGTTGTGATGAAATATTTGATATAAAAGCTTGCTGAGTATATAGGCGCAATATACTGGCAATGTAGTGATATTATTCTAGAATCGTCAATTTTTGTGGATAAAAGGAATGATTTTTGACATTTCACGATACTCAGGAAGTGATATGACTAGGATGTATGCATCGAAAGAGAAAGGAAGAGAGAGAAAGCAGAAAGTTGTGGATTAATTACACCATAGTATGGTTTAAGCACTACTGATCACATGTATAGTTAAGTTCGGAAAAAGAATTACAAGTCCACTATCCGTAAGACAGAAACTGTCAAATTCTACGAATCCCTATGGTGCGTAGAAGAGTTGTATCAAATGCATGTTGCCGTCGATGACAACCGGGTAGTAGCTTCACTTTTATTCAAAGTAGTATACATCCATGCAAGGTGAAATACACTTTTGTAAATTTGGGATCATAGGCAAGTAAAAGGGTAAGCTTTTGGTGTGAACCTGAATTAGCACTTGGTAATTAAGACTTTTCAATGTGGAGGTTTGTAGGGGTTTATTTAATAATTTTAGTTTGGTATTCATCATGAACGGAAATCAGTTGGAGAAACATTATGCAGTAAGCACCCATGACTTCGCCAGTGATCGAACCCATGATCGTCAGATTCATCGACCAGTACGTTACCTTAGAGTCACTCGATTGAAATTCAGTGGTCCATGTTTTCTACTTCTGTCAGTTCACGATATAGCCTGTCTTCCATCCGATGCTGTCGTTACCTATTTGTCCTCATATCCGACTCACTTGGCTTCGCCGGTCACGGCTTCTCATTAGAACTACGAAAATCACCTCTCGAAACAAGTCATGAATGGGCACTAAGATTGTTCAATTCGGAGGTTTGTGGGGATTTCTTTGTTGATTTAAGGCTGGTATTCATCAATGGACCGACATCAGTTAAAGAAACATTGAAAGCGCCGAACAGTTGTTTCGTCCCAGTATGGGGTTCCTTAGGAGTGCGCCCTCATAACCCCGCCATTTCATTCAGTGATTAGAAACATTTCAATTCATCGGCATTTAGTTCATTGAATGCGAGATATGTCGTTTTTATAAATCCTCTAAAGATGATCGTTTCTTCTTTGTAAAAGTGTACGGTGAATTATAATTCAGTGCAATGCTCACTAAAACTGTGTACAGTATTTGATCGTTCTCTTCTCTATTTATTTTAGCGCACATCCGCAGACTAATCGTAGTTCGCTTAATTTTGTGAGGTTTTGATATTCATTAATAACACGACAGTTGTAGGAATTTAATCGTTTACGTATTTTGCTGAACGTAACATGCAAATTTACAAAAGTGAAATATAAGTTTGGTCAGTAGTCAGATCTCTTAGTTCACTTAATACGGCAGTGGGCCAAAATCCCTATGGTCGCTGGTTCGAATCCCGCAGCGGCCCAAATTTCCATTTCACCTTCAATCAATACCCAGTATCAATACTTGTCTGCCAAACCACGGTTATCTCAGATGGTCATCGTTCATCCCCTGTCTATAAGCGTCATAAAAGCTGTTGACTTACCGCTTTCGTTTGTTATTCTCGTTATTTATTAAGACTGATTCTCTATAAACTTTTTGGACTATTTTTAAATTTTCTGTGAGAACAGTCTAAGGAAGCGTGTTCCATTCATAGTTCAGACTGTCGAATTCTAGCCAGAATGAAGAAGAAAGTTGTAAAGTGATTATTTTCTACTTGGCATATGTTCACTGCATAAAATCCATTCCTTTATATTATATACTTCAGGCATTATACAGTTAATGAGTTATTTATATTCCAAGGTGTGCAATCTTTTCACCCAGTGTTCCTGAAAATCCTGAATAAAAATTTTGTTTCAAAAAGTATTTACTTATCTGTGATGCAGCGCGCGTAGTAGTGAATGATTTACACAAGATTTCAAAACATTGTCCTTATTAATTACCCTAAACCAACTTTCAGTGACTTAGCATTAAGTTATACAGCATACTGACTGGTTAGCACAAAGTTTAAGCTGTGAAAGGATAATTTTCATTATCCGTATTCCCACTAACTGTGTAATGGGTGATACTGATCAGAATAGATATAAGTAGTATATGTTGAGAGGTCAGCAGAAGTCATAGGCAACTACCAGGGATGGGTAAATATTCAGCCCAGAAAAACTCAAGAGCCAATGAAGACTTTTGAAGAGCAAATCGAGATAGGAGAAGAAGAGGAAACGAAGCACATTATGCACTGCATAACGGAAATATTCATATCCCAAAAACTTGTTGCATTTATATTTTTCTTCTAACAGGAACTTGATTTTGAACGCCCTCATACACGACGCTGTTTCAAGTGTCACTCCCTAATTGGATTAGAATTTACTAAATTTCATTTGGAATTAATAAAACAACCATCAAATGGTGAGTCAATTTACTGGTTTACACATTCGAGACAAAAGGAAACTAAAATTTTAAACTCTTATTATTATCACTTACGACAAACAAAAACATTTGCTCCTTATCATGACTTTAGAACAAAGCGGTCATACTATGCACCTCATTTTTCTTTCCACCTACAGCTGTTTTTACATGCTCAGCATTCGGTGTCAGGTATATGTTTTAAGAGAACCGACAGATATAGAAACAAGTACTACAGCTGCTCAAAAGTCACTTGTCACTGAACAAAGAAAAAGCAGCAGTGGAAATAGGCAGAGAACATCAGTGATTAGGAATAAACGAACCTGCAGTAACAAAAAGTGCAATATTCATGTAGAGAAAAACACTGGTTATATTTGCACTGGTTATTATCGATTTTAAGTCATACCACTTACAATCGAACCGAAATGCACTCAGCAACGTTGTGCACACCAGTGCGAGGGGTTCCCAAGCCTCAGTAGGTGGAGCGGTGTTCGGATCTGTGACCCATTGGTTGAAAGTCAACTCTCTAAACCAAAGAGCCGCAGCTCTATTTACTTGGAGTCTACAAGTAATGGCGCGCAAAACACCCTAGAGTCTCCAACTGAGGGAGGAGCTTACGTATCTCAAACCAATAGTCAGTAGTTTCATACATGTGTTTCCGGTGTTCATCTAGTCTCTTAGCAATACTTCGACGTAAATTTACTTAAGCCATTACTACGCATTAAGATAATTGGTCACTTGCCATGTATAATATATGTTTTAGCCGGCCCCGTTGGTAATTCCATTGAATGACTTATCCTTCTTGCCTACAACTTTGTCTAAGCTTAAGATTACCTACGTAGTGGCTCTACTACATATGTTAAGTAGCAATGAAATGTATGACATTTGATAACTTGTGATATGTTGAAAATTGGTTCAGAATATAAGGGATCAGAACCGAACCTTATATATCAAAAGCTAACAAGCTTGTTATGGAATCTTGAAGGATATGGGTTAGGTTCCAAGATGCTCATAGGTATGCGTACCGATGAAGAGTTAAAGAGTATGAAGGAACAACCTTGTAGTACACACGACCTAGTGTTCGATGGTCAGTTCATCACCATCCACTTGCGCTAAGAAAGCTTTCAAATTATTGTGAATCTCCAGTTTACCAACTTAATATCCTGATTGAAAAGGATGCATACACTGTAATTCTAATTATAGATTCATGAAACAGAGTAGTGTGAGGACGTTTTGTTGATGTAACTCATTTTCTCAGACTTTACTTACCGAAGGACTGTCGTGTTTCATGGAGTTTAAGTGGTAAGATACCTTTGTACGTGTTGAGGGTTGAATGCGGAAGCTAGTTAGTGTGCTATATCTGCAGGTGAAACAATCCGTAGAGTAGACCAAGTACTCTCAATACGCACTGTCCAGTAAAGCAAACCAATTAAAATATCGAAGGTAAATAAAATGTTTGTGTTTCATTTCTGCCTCTTTCTGCAGCATATCTAACATGTAAAATGAAGTTTCATCGAAAGCTGATGAATTAACTATGTGGCGACAAATTGATCACCTCACTATGTCGTTGATACCAACGTTCTGTAAACCAGAAGCATGCTAATTACTATCTATCACAACCCACTCACAGTGATTATAGAAATCTGCAAATTGGTTTTCAAAAGCATGACACTGAATGCCGACTGACGGCATCTATTGAGAAACGTTATCCAGGAATTCTATCCACTCTGTACTACACTCTAGTATCTCCAGTTAGTAATATTGACTACGTTATTTGGAAGTGTTGCGCATACCGAGTCACCGCCTACCTCGACATGTCATGCTGAAGAAAGCTGGATTAGGTTGAAAGAGGGTTCAGGGTGGTCAGAGCAAGACGTGACACCAACCCATGAAGTCCCTGACTGTCAGTCTAAGGTGTATGGAGAAATGCAGACTACCTGTCCACGAGACGAAGCGACTTTTGGTGATTGTGGCGCAGATGTATCTACTCTTTGATATGTTCTAAAGCTAGAGTATTCGCACTAACCGCTATCATCAAATTGTTTATTCTCTCACACGACTTCGTCTACCTTGATATCACTCTTATTCTACCCACCTATCTGTGTATACTACTGTAAAGTGTGGGAACTTGAACCGATGTATTTGTATGCTAGGTTTTATGTTAATTTTGTCTGTCTTTATTTGAAGTTACTGCTTATTTCGGAGTTGCTGCATAGAATTGATCATCACTTAACTCAAAAGTACATATGTTATTTTATTCCAAGAAGCAATCCCACTGCTATACCATCAATTAGTCTAGTCCGAAACTTCTACACTAGTGACTGATATCTTGAAATGTTGATTTCCATTTAGGTCGCTTCCTATCTCACATCTTGGTTGTCTTGGGATAGTTTTTGTCATTATGCTTTGTATACAAAAAACAGCTGACAATTTTCATTTTTTATAGTAACGATTTCAAAAACAGATAATTGCCGTAATAAGCAAGAAGCATCTTCTGAAGTTTCTCGAAGATTACAACGGACACTGAATTCAGCCCAGAATGCACTTATCCAAGATGGTTCACCCTTACCAGCGTTTGGCAGCTGTAAACATTATCGGAAAAGTTACCGGTGGCTGAGGTAAATTACTTACGCACATTTCTTAAGTCTCATTCTTAGCATTTGAGGTTGAGGAAATTGCGTAGCAGACCTTTCATAATTTCCAAGCAATCTTTTATTTCTACAGTTCCTGTGCTGTTTTAGCATTAGGAATTTGTTAAAATTGAAGCTTATTATACTGACTGACTAAATTAACGCAGACCGTCGCACACAGGTGCTTCGCCTCAAGTTACCACATTTCACAGTAGTACATAAAGAACAAATGCGTAGAACAAGAGTGATATCAAAGTTGTGTGGGACAATAAACAATCTGAAGATAATAATTAGTGCAAATAATCATGCTGTAGATGTCAAGGAGTGAATACATCTGTCAGTGTGACCGATTTCAGAAGTATCACCAAATGGTCGCAATCACTGATTCCTTTCGTCTCGAGGACCCCAACCAGACAGTTTACATCGCCCCCACATGACTGAGACCAACAATCAGAGACTCCATCGACTGGTGCCACTTCTTGGTCTAACCACTCTGAGCCCTCTTTCAACCTAATCCAGCATCCTTTAAGCACGGTACGTCGAGGTAGCTGGTGGCTCAGGATGTGCATGTCCAAGCCACCTCAGTCGACTAAGGTCCACAACTTCCTCAATCGACCTCCCTGTCTTGCTTCGGCTAACCCCAATATTGCTCACACGATGATCCCACCAAATGCGAAAAATCTTACGAAGACATCTGTGGTCGAAAACCGGTAACCGCTTAATGTCTTCTATTTTTAACGGCTGTATCTCATAGCCGCATAACAGGACAGGACGGACTGTAGCGTAATGCATATTTCTTGTGTTGCCAAAGATACACAAAAAATGGGGAGCATTTGAATCAGTTACATATCGTTAAGTTAAATCTTAAACTGTGATAACTAGACTAACCAACTTTCGCATCAAACCTGAAAACTTCGGAACTAAATATAGGGGTTTACTATAAGCGGTACTGCAAGTATGTTCATAACCGAAATAATAACCACCGCCAACTATATTGATTCCATGGGGAAATTTGTTGGGTCACTTCTGAGCAAGGACTGACAACGGCTAATGATAAACAATCGGATTAACGATAGTAAACATCAGTGGGTACGTAGATAGGAGTGAATATGACTTACAATGTGAGTGAGCAAGCATTGAGGTTTTATTACTCTAACAAACTGATGTAAATTAGATGAACAGTCATAACGTATTCAGCCTTCGAAATCACTGAAACTCATGTTATCGAAAGGCGAGTTGTTGATGAAAATACTGAAATCCCTGCATTCTGTGTCATCCTGGCAACGGAACACTGCTTATAATTAGTTACTTTATATCGCTTACCGATATTAGCATTTATTTCAATAACCTTTTTTGAGTTCTGCTTTTATAGGTTCCCTTGTTGTGGACGTCTTGAGCCATGTGATGTTTGTCACGACAATTCTGCTGTCGATGGACACGAAATGGAAATGGCTACTCGTATGATTTGTGGATTTTGTTCGAAAGAACAACCATTCTCTGCCGTTAAACCGTGCGTCAGATGCGGCAAGATGTTATCCGGAACTCGATCCTCACATTGGGAGGGCGGAAAAGGGTGTCGTAACCGGGTGATCATGTCCAGAAAGGACTCAAAGAAATATTCTCAAGTCAATAAAGTGATATCTAAGAAGAAAACCAGCAAGAACAAATGATAGATGTCTTAAAACAGTGAGCAACCCTAGGAACACAATAATGTGCAGGAATTACCACAGTAAAAAGATTTTGTTGTATTATACAGTTTGTGTACTGGATATCTCCGACCACCTTATGATTCACCACACAACTGATTTCCAGATCTTTTTTTAGAATTTCGTATAAAAGTGGATATCAGTCCCGTAAGGATTTCGACCTTCTATCACAGCAGATGATACTGTATGATGTCACATGTAGATGATATTTTATTCCACATACTTATTTCTGAAATTAATTTTATAACTTCTTGTGACTATTTTAAGTTTTCAAAAACGTCATTTTCTACTACATATGATTATTTAATTAACTGCTAAGTTACCTTGGATGTGATCAGATCATTCGCTATTAAATACACACACAATTTTAATTATGACAAAAAGTCAAGAGTCTCCTCAATCTAACTAACTCGAATTGTATCAGTTTAGATGAATCTGATGAGCTCCACATTCCCACCTGCCCATTGAATGTTTACTTTTTACGGTTTGATATCCTCTATTATAAAAAACAGGCAATAAAATGGTAATTTCATGGATTTCGGTACAGAATGTATAGGTCTTTCATACGGATACTGACTGGATAAGACATACGTCGAGAGATTGGAAGAAACGAAAGAAAATTGATAATAATGTTTATGGTCCGCGGGCATAAACACCATCGTAAGGCATAGCTAGTGGTTAGAGACTATAGGTGATACAACTCAGAAACAAACTCCGCAGCGTAGAGGCAGCCATAAATTATCTTCACCCTAATCGTTATGCCAAGTTTTATTATCGTCTTGTCCTTTCCTCCTCTTTTTTTACGGCTTTCTACAACTTATCTTCAAATCGCCTGAACCAGATATCAGAATTTACGTTAGTATCTGGGTCGTATTGAAATTCCGTGATTTCACTGCACAATAACATCAACAGAAGAAGCGGTTATACCAGCATTTGCGTTTAACAGCTCAACTAGAATAAGTCTTGCGTTAGAAAGCAACTCGATAGTCAAGAAATCGATCGAATCTTGCAAAGTCCATTTTCAAATACCTCGTTACCATTGTCGGAATCTCGGTATGGTTAATTAGGTACCCTTAAACTAGATACCGGAGAAATGATACTATACTCTCTTAGCTAACATCAGAAAAAAAGACAGTATTTAACTAAAGAGAATTTACTTCCATCGAAAAGTACCAATCTAGGGATGCAAGTCCTGCGTTCGCATACACTGAGCGTTCTCGTAGCGAACAGACAAATAAGCGTAATAAAAATCTACTGTCATTATTAAGTCCATTTTTGACTGCCTCCAGAGCCATGTCGATGGGTATATCAATGTTAAATCAAACTGAACGTACATAAAGACAGTATCACATGAAATTAGTGGATACTGTTATAAATAAGGTTAAGAAATCTACAAAGGTTTAATACGCTTAATGAAGCCGTTTTCCGACGGTATGTTCTCTGAACTGGATGGTTTAATCGTGGAGCTTTTATTGTCACTCTAGACAACATCATCACCCCAAACTTCAGAAAGAAGTGAGCTATAGGCTTTTCTCCACAAGCTGCTTAGTAGCTCGTCGTGATGGCCTTGTGTGTGATTGGTTGTTTCTGCCAAAGTTTTGTCGTCGTCTCCATATTTATTTTATTGGTTGTCCTACCGACATGGACTTTGACCTTCTTCTTGCTTTTTATTGGTTAAAAGACTTGGTCAGTGTCAGCAACACTGACTCGGAAGGTCAAAGTCCACGTCGGTAGGACAACCAATCGCACACAAGGCCATCAGGACGAGCTACTAAGCAGCTTGTGGAGAAAAGCCTATAGCTCACTTCTTTCTGAAGTTTGGGGTGATGATGTTGTCTAGAGCGACAATGAAAGCTCCACGATTAAAGCATCCAGTTCAGAGAACACAACAACATTAAAATTATCTTCCTGAGTTACAAACAGTTTCCATCATTTCAGAAGCCGTTTCTAGGTGAGTCAAAATGATTCGCGTTAATGCTGAAACATATCTATTAAACAGACTAAAATGGAATCACAATTTACCACAAAGCTTTAAGTATTGGACTGAGGACAGTTTGCTTCAGTCGGAGAGTAATCTAGCAGCGCAACTCTCCCGCTTACATACATTATGGGCATCCTTAGGGTGAAAATACTAATTAACGTATTAAAAGCTGAAGATTAATCAATAGGGAAATAGCGTCTCTAAAAGCGCTGAAAATGAGCCATACACGTGATACGGAAAGGTGCGAAAAAAATAAATTCGAATTTTCTATCGGGTAAATTCATCCATAAAATGTTCATTTTTTGGGATCTAACATCACCGACACAGTGTATCTGCACAAAATACACACTGGAGGAAATCAAATTCTTAACAGAAACTAGTAAGCAACGCATATCCCTTGAAGTTCATCAGTCGGTGCAGTAACGATCCAGCCTTGCGATCTGCTTAGTATCCTGTTCTGAAGAAGGACGTGTACATCATGCTATCACTTAGGGGAGAGTCGAACAGTATGAATTTAAGATGCATGCTTAATTCGGTCAATAAAAGAACATACTAGGCAGCCACACTTATTACTCTAGAGAAAACCAGACCCATTCTCTAACATAAACCTCGTCACTACATAGATGATTGCGTTACATCCAGTTGTGCATATCGGTTTATATGCGTGTCCAGCGATACATACTCCAGGAGGAGTGCTCAAAGGTGGTGGAACGCATCTTCGAGCACCTGAAGAAACGACCAAAATAATCTGATAAATACAAGGGCTAATAGGCATTATCTTGTATAGGTGTAGACACTATAAAAGCACAAGATTGACCTAAAAGTAGCATTTAGGTCGTTATATAGGAACCTTTAGGATCGTATACGTAGGTTTACTGAAGCCTTAACTACACGAAAGTTCAAACTCCAGGTATTTAAAAGCAGTTTCTCCTTACCTTAAACATTCCTTGGTAATCCTTGTCTAATTTTAATACACTAAGAGTGATGTGGGTGTATTATTCCTCCTTATCATCCCTTATTTCTAGTCTTGTATTATTCCAATTTGTTTATCTTATCCGACTGTTTTAACAATCCTTAGATGTAGTATTGACGAAGAATGCAAAATGGAATCGACCGGGTGACTATCAACAGACATTCGATACAGTTGGAAAGCTACTTACATCAGGTTCCCACCTCACTCATTACTTCCCATTGTGTTAGTATCTGGTGCTTCAAATGACGGCATTGATATGGTATTATCCTATATTTTTCCCATAGGATTCTGAGAAAGCTACCCATCGTGCCTCACGATCATCATCGTTCACAGAATGCAGTGGCATTCATAACTGGAAAAGAAGCACCATGTATAAAATTTGCGGTTAAGAAGTTCCATAAACTGATTGATGAACGAAGGTCCATTTTACTGGCAGATCACAAAACCTTATTAACTCTCTCTGGGTCAACAAAAGGCACTCCAGTTTACACCACAAATCGCCTTTAACAGAGGAGTACAACACTGCTGGGTTATAATTTTAACGTACTGTACCAGCCCGTAGATAATTCCCGTCACTGGGATGCTGTCTCCAGACTAATCGGTTTCCAACACTCACTAAGAGAAGGTACTGTGACTGAAAATGAGGTATGACAAGTTCAAAAAGATGGATTACGTGGCTCACCAGTGACTTTTGAAAATATCAAAACGCCTACAGAAAGAGATGAAAATTCAGAACTATTCAAAGTCTCTCTGAGGAAAACTAGCCGACGTCTCAGCGCACTGAGGATTCTAAGCAACACTATCACCATCGCGAATCACTGCCGATTGTGAATTTGTGTCATTTCTGTTGGTGGAATTGTGACTCAATTCTTCTCCAGAAGCAGTTCTTCAATGCGCATCCGGGTATCAATAGACCGAAGTCACTGGCATGTAGTTAGGCATATGGCTTAATAAGGATTAGGAGATTGAAAAAAAATGTGAAAACTGTTTTAAATGCACTTTGGCTGCAAGAAACCCTACAAAGTGTCCCCCATACCCACGGCCGGTGACAGAAACCCGTGACAGACTTCATGCTGACTTTGCTGAGAAAATGTGGCGGAGAATGTACCTTGCTATTGTTGATGCACATACGAAATGGTCTGAGATGTTATACATGCGACAATGTACGACAGAAGCTACAATCCCCAAACTGTTCAAGTTGCTTAGGCGTCCTAGAAACTATGGTAGCAGATAGTGGCATAGTTCACTAACACAGCATTTTCAGCTTTTTGCAGATAGAATGAAATCCAGAGCTTACGTTCCCCAACTTACCAGCCACTATCAAACGGGGTTAAGCTAAACTTTACTGATAGGAAATATTGAGGATAACCGATAAGGTTGCAGATGTTGTATATCGAGGTCACTCGTTTACCATGTTGTTGATGGATTGTGACAAACACTACGTTGTCGGTTATTTCTAGAGTTGGATTGCTTGCAAGAAGTCTAAATGATGAATGTAACGTTGATGGACTGTTTACCTAACAGCGAGAAAAGAGATGACTTCATCTTTCAGTGTCCCGGCTGTTACCAGAAGGAATTTCTGAAAACCGGATCGTTTTATGAAGGATCTCATCGAACTCTCAAAAAATAATGGTGGGCTGTTAAAACCCGTAATATCAGCAGGAGGTCTGGTAGATGTTAGTTCAGTTCGTTCACTGGAGTGGTATCACACTGCAGAGATGACACAAACGATATCTCATCATCGTCTCTACCTATGCTCCGACCAAGTGCAGATAAAGATGCGTGACCTCTACCAAATGCGCTCGATATATCATGGTGCTAGATGGGGACTGAAACGAACAGCTTGAGCGTCTGAGCTCAGAGATGAGCAGTTAGGGTTACCAGTCAGCCACAGGTCGAAGAATGTGGATTACCTTCTATACAGCTGTGTGCAAACAGCCACCCGTTTTCACTCAATGCCAACTTTGAACGCAGTCATCGCCGTTGTGCTAGCTAGCTTCTTCTACTCATCACTCGAACCTGAACTCAAATAAATCATATTGCAATTAGCTGCTCATTCGTGAGCACTAGATGAAAGAATTCGATCTAAAGTATGCGAACGATATAGTTCTACTATCTGACAACATGTGGACTTGAGTCGCATTTGGTCAGTGTCCGTAGGTATGGTATATGCTAGCTCAGTAGGTAGCCGTAATTGCACTCACCTTGCATGGTGAATCTCTGGAAGGCGTTGGAACATTTATGTACCTGGGTAGTTTTCTATGAGTTGACGGAGGTATGAATGACGAGATTTCCAAATGTATGTCTGGAGTCAGAGTGAAATAAACCTACCTGGACGACCTTCAGCGCCGTCATGATGTTAACTTTGTTGTAAAAGGTTAAGTTTACAACGCATCGTTGCGGGTAGTTTTGCACGACACCTGTGAAACCTGACCTCTCCGAGTTGAGAATGTTCGATGGTTCTGTGTTTTTAATCACCGTTGACTGCAGAGGATTGCTCACAGCTGGTGGGAACATCATGTAAGTAATTCTGAGGCTGGGAAGTGTGTTTGGGTGCAATGGAGATTTTCATTCTCTAACTGAATCCTTGGAACTGCTTTTCTATAATCCATCTGTTTTTCTCTCTGTACCTTTTTTGTTTTTTCCTTAACATCACTTCTACGTTCTCTTACATCTATTAAATTTCTTCATACGGTGCATTTTGTTATGTTCATGTTGTACTAAGTTCGCATTTTAAATAAATGAGAAATTAAAACAGAAATGGACAGTAATCTGTGCAATATACGTGAAATCGTATCCCTAACCCGAGTAATCTATCGACCTTACGAAAAACAGCGATATAAGGCAGATCATTAAACTATACGGGTAGCACAGATTACAGGGATGAGGAGATCATTTTGTAGAATGCAGCAGACGATGATTACCTAGGTTACGCAGTTTTAATTTAGTCTGGTTAACTATTTAGCAAATTTGTCCATTCATTCTTCCAAGTTATATTCAGTCTAAAATTTTGTGATAAACGAACCTACTGTGATACACGGCTTCTTTCTTTATGGAGTAGTGATCTAACCACAAATTATCCATTGCAAAAGAGAAGCAACATTCTTGTGAACAATTCACAAACTACATACATTTGTAAAAACAGCTAAATGTGTTATAATACACTTTATTGATCAAATGTACAAAGTATCGAAGCATAAGAAAAGCTGACTTACAACAGAAATGTAGACTTATCACAAGTTACTTTTTAAAACTGAAGGACTATTTCCGCATACAAGTGTATGTAAATCACGAAAAGCTGAAGCGCGATTCCTGGAGAAAATAAATGCACATTTAGGGCAATAATAAATTACATGAATTTTAGTGTAAACAAAAGGCAAAGATTCTGAAAATCTGGGAATACAGTTAAAATATTGATGCTAGGTGTCAAATGACAGTAAGTCTCAGGGATCTAAGTTTCACAACCCTCGGTACTCATCTGTAAGCATACGAAAACTGGTGCTCTCCCCACTCAGTAGTTCAGACCTTTGTGACTCATTACTGAAGGTAAAGACGTCGCCACTAAACTCTATGCAAGTCGAAATTTCCTGTGAAGCTGGATAATTTATGTGAACTGGTCACCAGAAGTTAACCAATGTAGTTAATACTACAGCGTAATGCACAATTAGGTCGCATCACTTAACTTTGCAGTCATACTGAGGATTTTATAGATAGACTTTTGTTATTGCCTAGCACTAGCTAGACCGTCATATTGACCACCCTCTCGTGATCTATTTATGTGAAGTAAACACCATTTAGTTTCATAAGTGTATGACAAAAATCTTGCAATTGTAATATTCTGATAGGTTGGAAAACGTACCTCAAAGGGTTGAACAACCACGTAGTGTACACACTCGCATTTTAGTGCAGTAGTTTGTTAAACTGATAATGTCGAAACCCAATTCATGACCTTGGAACTGGTCACGGTTGTAGAAAGAATGATTTCTTTACAATCTATACATAAGTCATTGGTAAACGATGCAAAATACACACAACATTATATGGTCATGACAATATAAAACTTACTAAGTGTCATGAGATCAGATAAGCAGATTTGTCAACAATCCAACATTTGAGATAACTAGAAGTCTAGATACTAATAACCTGTAATCTCATAGCTGAATTTTATAATAAAGGAAGCTTACGGAGGCGAACAAGTCTAGTGCGAGTGAGGTGTAGCTTGAACACAGATGCCTTCATAATGTTTTTGCAGGACCGGAAGTCATTGGGTGTTAAAAGCACCAGAAGATACAGTTTACATAAAACGTCTGAATGTCATAAAACAGTTCAGCGAAATTTGTAGTGAAGTTTATAAAAACATTTAAGCCAGTTTACATAATATAAGTATTTCAAACAATCATGAAGATGATAGAATAATAGCATTCGTCTTGAGAATTATCTGACAGGACCCATGAGCTCGCGTCATGTAAATAGAATTGGTCCAAGATAAAATCGTGGTATCAATTGATGAACTCTTGATCCACATAGGAACACTGCCTCTGAAAAAGTGTATCATGATATAATAGTTCCGAAGTTGATAAAGGCTTTTTCTATATCACTAGGAAAATCTTATGTATATATGTACAGAAACCTTGTGCGGCTGTGTTTGTGTAAGAAAGAAAATTAATGAGTTGACTTTCACAAGTTTTTTTCAGTCATTCATGTTAACAGTTCCTAAGACAACTGAGATTATCAATACGAGGGGATAGTGTAAAAGAAGTATAAATTATGTAGAAGTAATAAAGACATCAGTCCTCGGAAGTACTTCCACATAAGTATTTCTCCATCTTAGAAGGTACAGTCAAAGTTATTCGCTGTTACTCTACATGTAAATATAGATTTTCACATTTTGACGGTCACATTACACCAATAGTTTGTGGAAACAATTAGAAATTTTTTTAATTCACTAGTAATTATCATTTGGTGAAGTAATTTGATAGGAAGCGGCCTAAATCGAAATCAGCATTCTAAGTCGTCAGCTGCTAAGATAGAAGTTTGGATTTCAACCTTGTTTCAGGTTACTTTGCGGTCAGCGAAAACATTACTGGACAATTTTGTCCTACAGCTGACCAATGTCCAACTTCTGACCTAGTGGCTTTGTATTCTCAGGAAAGCTATATATAAATGATGTGTTTGTTTTTGTAAAACAAAGTTGTCTTCTTTACAGTTACAAGCTGGTCTTTGTTTTTGATATTTTGCGGCTCATGGAGAACAGATGCTATTCGTATCCAGTTCAGGTGTCGCGTTGCGTTAGCAGCACTTTTGTATTATTCTGTCGGTTACTTCATAATTCACTGGTAAGTAGTTTGAATAGTCCAGTAATAAACCACACAATGAATGTATATAATTGCATAATCAACATATAAACTAGGACTGGCATTAGGTAAGCCAATACTCATAAACTTACTCAGTATGGGAAAACAGATCAGTAAGCAGTTCTGGAAGTTTCGACTTGAAAATGTTCAACATTTCGAATTCAATTTGTATGGATTCTAGTTCACTCCACAGGTTTGTAAACAGACGTATTTCTTTTTTGCTCCCACTAAATACACACATACGACGGCACGAAGTTAGCGCTGACAAACGCGAAGTCATTCCTGATTGATTAGAACAGTTCCCTTAATAAATGAAAAAAAATGATGGAATGGTTATCAGCGAGTAGACAACAGGTCCTTTTAGGAGGGAAAATCGATGATCAGCTAAATAACGATTACATATGTAGAATTACTGCAAACAAACCACATGACATATATTTCAATGTCTTCAGGACATATTACTGATGGTGAATAAACAGACTACACACTACGTCGCAGTAACTAACATCCTGCTTTTTCAAGCTTCACTGCATTCGTCATTATTATGCACTACAATCAAACAAAATTTTCTTGACTATACTATTTTCGAGCACACCATAACAGTTTGTTTTTTAATTTTTCTTGATTCATGCAATCAATCAAGTTTTATGTCACTCCACTATCCAGTCAGTAATCTGATGGAAATTTTTAAATTACAAACCGTTTTAAAATTCTTTTCCATTTTTCATTATATCACACGTAACTCTGGAGGTTTCATAATCAGTGGTCTACTTTTAGTTGTTTTTTAAGCTTAAACTGGAAATATGAACTAAAAAGACTTGTGTTTTGGAAAAAAGACTATTTCTAAGTTCATCACATGTTGAAGAGTCATGCTTACAATTACCGTCTACAGCTATATAAAAACATTTCTATGTTCCGGCAGCCCAGCAAATAATTAAACTACGCAAACGGTATGTTGCACTGTTTTTTAGAGAAAACAGTAACCCATTACAGGTATACTTTTTCCACTTACAGTGAGTACTTGATACCCTATTCCGAAACATTTTCTCGGAGTCTGAATCAGTGCGTAGTTACCGCTTCTCACAATAATATTTATGATTGCATATTTCAATTCAAGAGTTTTTGTTGATCCCTCATCCATTTCTATATGATTCATGTTTCCAAAATAAACTGGATCTTCAGTGAAACCAATTATCGTACATCAATCCGTTTTCCATGTATGAAATTAGTTATGTCATTTTTACCAATTACGACGTGTTTTGTGTGCATAACTTAGATGTTTAGAAGCAAAACTGAGACTGCAGATATGCAAGGACAATGACTTTCGTCTTCATCTATTGTACGGAGGTTGAGGCGAGGGAGAAATCGTGTGACTTATCCGCGGTTACGTGAGGAACTGATCACATTCACAGTCAACGTTACAGGCGATTAACAAAATAATGTGATAAGAAATTTGCCACTTTGCAGTCATAATACAGTTGGACAATGTTATTTGGTTGGAGGCAATCGGCACGAAGCCCTGGTCTTAGGTTTCGTGCTTGCTGGCACTCGTCAGTAATGGCATGTCTAGAACCTAAAAGAAACTGATGTTCCCTCTGAGATTCGAACTCACGTCACTCAGTGTTACAGTCACTGACGTTACCACTGGGCTGCCCGGTCCGCCACTGACCTTCGATTGCCTCCAACCAAATAACACCTATCAAAGTGTACTGTGATGCTAAACCTCCCAGCTCAGTGGCCAAACCGCCAAGCAATCGATAGAATCCGGTCAGCCCTCGGGAAAAGGCAACCAATCAGTGTACTGCTGGATAGTGTTCAGTTTACACGTACGGTCAAAATAACGTGTATACGATACTCAGGGATTTAAAGTACTTCTATTGATTGAAATCGTTCAAGTGTGCTAGTTCACTAACGGTTTGCTTGAATACTGTTTCACAGTGTGAAATATATAGTATACAGACTAAAATGTAATATTAATTTAAAGTGGTCTGCTTAAATCTTGGGCTACCAAAAAACTTCCCACCGATTATATTCCATCAAATTCTTCCCTTTTAGTTCGTTTTAATCTTTTAAATGTCTTCTGAGCGAACCAAGTACTCTCGCACATTTTTTAAATGTCTTCGAACTTTCGTTTCTCAACCTAAGAACAAAACAGAGGAAAAACGTTCCGCCGGTTGGAAACGGATTTGTAAATGCTCAACAATACACCACATTACTACTCCTACGGTACCTGTGTAGGATTGGGAATTTCTATGCTGGCTGACTGAAATGCCACCATCAAAATTACACTAGATTTTGTTTTAATTTCAGAATCCAGAACAGATGCTAGTGTAACACTAGATGCCCGTTTCACACTCATGCCTTCAATACTGTTATTATTAACACTAAGCAGACGTAATAATGATTTCTTTTAAAAATATTGTACGGAGAGCGAATTTGTTGAAATATTCCATGCTGAAAAATGCCATACTGTATCATATATGTTGTTTGCAATAAAGCGATTATTATTATTATTATTACCATTATCATTAGAAATATGTTAAAGAACAATGAAGTGTGCGACAATCAATAATGAAGTCAGAATGTCCATGCTGCCGAGATGATATTTTAGAGACGGTAAGAATCTCGATTAGAAACTGTAAAAACAAATTATGCATAATGCGCTTCATTGTTTTGAATGGTTATTTCTACTCAACGATTATCTGCCTTAACCCTACATCTCCTAGTATTCTTCATTTCTTTATGCTTTTATGAAGTGTGGGAGAAACTGAATAGCCACATATCTGTTCGACATTCTAAGAATAGCTGAAATTATGCCAAATATAATAGTTAGACTGTGAGTACAATCAACATAGAAAAGGCCAGTCATATGCACATCAGGTGAACCACAGAGCAAAGAATAATCATCAGAATTCAGTATATCTAACTATTTCATACTATATCCCTAAGACTGGGTGAGACAAAAGTTTTTTTTCAAGGCAATCCAATCATTAGCACCAAAGCCAGACATTAGTAAGCACTTAGTTAAGGATGCTGGTTTAGTACATGAACTCGTCACATGAAGTGGTACTACTTCAAAAGACGTATTTAGAAGATGAATATTGCAATTATAATTTCATTCGTAGCTTGTCGAAATTAGTACTACAACAGACAAAAGTGTAAACTTAGCCACACGCTTCAAAAGCAATATTGTTTTGTTCTGGTTGTCAGTTGACAGGCAGACGGAGCTGTGACCCATTGAATTAGGCATTCCATATTTAACCGGCGGGTTGCAGGTTCAAATAGTGACCCACCTACGTAGTTCGGTATACCTAGATTGTATCAACACTGCTCATACAATAGATGTCGCTCGTATTTTCGTACAAGAAGGTGTAAGTAGTTGCTTATTGCATTCAAACTCAATGCAAAGTTTGCATAAAAATGAAGAATGCTCTTTACGTGGAAAACTGAAGTAGTGTCAAAGCATAAACGCAACTTTCTTATGAAATATGCCGTTCATCAGGGAAGTCCACTCACTCCAAATCAGTTTACTTGTATCTATATACTACTGTGAAGTGTGGCAGCTTGTGCCGATCCACCTGTGTACGATGTTCTACGTTGATTTTGTCAGTCATTCAGTTATTTGCATCATGGACTTAAATATTGGAGTATATGTTTTAATTTTGGCCTTGTAAAAGATTGCTCAGTCCATAAGCGATAGATGGATAATACCAAAGTGGGACCTGGCACCACTGCGCAACGATCCAAGTTGCCACACACATCAGCACATCAAGCGAGAATGCATCAAGTTGAAAGATAAACAAAAAAGGAAGAACGGAGTTAAAAGTGGTAGAAAGTAGTAAGAAGAGAGTAAGGAGGAGTGAGAGCAATAAAATTCAAAATGACAATTAGGACGAGGATAAGTTGTAGATACATCTGTGCTACTGAGATCTATTTTGAGCTATATCACCCAGAGTCTTCAACCACTAGTTTTTATTACCATGCCGAATGCGACGGGGAAGTTTACATCTTCCTAATACAGCTCTGAACAACAGTCAAAGACTTCATGGTCTGACGGCATGTTTTAGTCTAACCATCTGTAACTTTTTTCATCCCGAATCTAATTCACCCAACATTGTGTGATAGGCCAGACGGTCACTAGGGACTAGACGTGAGTAACACATGTCCCAACCACCGTAGTCGATGAAGTATCACAACCACATCGATCGACTTTTTTTTCGATTAAAACTTAACGATAGAAAGTGAGGTGATGGAATGCGTTATTCACTCCACCTATATGAGAGTGTGCACCATTCATACTGAACTGGTTCATGGAAACATCTGAGTTAGAATAAAAAAAGGCTCATTTGGCTATTCTTAACCCATATCACGTCTCATGCCTGTGAGATAACCAACTACACATCGAATAATGAGTACACTGTACAGCAGTCCACTTTGTCTTCCTGTACCACTGTGAGATACGACTGCTGGAAGTGGGAGTAAAGAGGTTACTGTCTTCCCAATTTTACTGCATCAGCAGCAATGAGCGACACCTATTACGTTAGAGCTGGTGATGCCATCTGGCTGCCCAAACTTCAGCAGGTGAAATGGGGTTCAAGTATATCGCCAACTGGTCGAAAGTTGGCTACCTAAACCATTTAGATAGCACTGTTTGCGTATGTTTGAATTTTAATTTCAACAATTTTGAGGTTAAAAGTAGTGTACTAATAAAGAAAACCATGTTAATTGATGTTGTGAACTATCATTAACTAAAGTTCTTCTTATATACACCCTACATGTCGAATCCCCGCCTATCTACAAGGGCAATCTTAACCGAAGTAGGATTAAGTTGCAAGAAAGCTAAGTGTGCTCAAGTAAAAGCGTGGTACCAATTAATGAAGCCACTGATTGCTGGTTCGAACCGTAAAAGGTGTAGGCTGCCTGGTTCAGGTCCTTAAGATGTCAGGCATAATGGTTGTAGGATATTCATAGTATGCACCAAAATCCGACACAATGGCACAGATAAATACACTCGTTTCCGTCTTCGAAATTTTGCCAACCATCGCTTATTAATTCCATTACATCAAGTACTTTTATCTAAACCAGTTTCATTCTCTTTCAGTTACCTATCCTGTGTGCTGCTGTGATGTGTAACAACGTGAAAAATTACACTTCTATGTTGATTTGTCTGTTGCATAAAATTGTCAGGTCAGGCTAGGATATCGATGAAATGTTGGCTTTGTAAACATCTTAAACAAAATGTAAGGATGTTTCGAGTGAATGTCTTATTTCCGTTATGCTATTTCTAGCTTTTACAATAAATAACAGAGTTGTTAAGTATGTTGACCACTTTAATCACCTTGAAAATCACATCAGATCTAGCAGGTTGTTTGCTGACGAATATATGTAAAAATGATTTTCGCCATCTTAAGCTTCTTGTAACACTTAGGAAATGTCAAAATGCTTGCTAAGCATCACGTGTACTAAGCAACAGCGCGTTTCATTTTATCGTATGATCAGTAAACAAGGATATTAAATGTAGAGGAATTGTGAAAACCAGATGCCTTTGATAATCTTTACCTTAATAGCACTATTGCACGTATAGTGGAATCACCGTGGAAATAATATCAAAGATGGAATTATAGCGACACACAGGAAAGCATATCAGTCGATGAGGCTGTGAACTTTTATTGACTGAAATAGTTGAAACATGTCACACAGTATAGTGGACGTTACTGATCAGGATGGAAATAAGTAGTATGTGCTGAGATGGCGGCAGAAACCATAGGAAATTACCAGCAATGGATAAAGATTCTGCCCAGAGAAACGCAAGAGATAATGTAGACGCACTAAGAGCGAATCGAGATAGAAGCAGAAGAGAAAATGAAGCACATTATACAAATGACTGTCTTAGTGGAAGGTGTATAATATTTGATGACTACTGTACAAGATTTCGCTAATAAATATTCCTTCCTTCGTCCCCATCTTGTCGTTTTCTACAACAGGACCAAGCACAATCTAGGCAAAGTATATTTCGACTGGAAAAACACCGCGAAAGATCAGACCGAAGTGTGAATGGGTGAACCCTATGACTGTTGATCTGAACAGCAAAAGGAAGTTTAGGTTCTGTCTGGTTCAAAATTGATCATATTAGCGCAAAAAAACCTTATTTTCATTCAGTTCATGAAACTCTGTTTTTGCATACCTACACACCTTTCATATTGCCTCACTTTCACTCTCTAGTTTTCTAATAATTTCTGGTAGGTACTTTTTATCTTTTTTCTTGTTAACTTCTATTCGAATTGCTGAAGTAAAGTGTAACAGCTTAAACCGATATGCGGCTTTCAAGTTGCTTGCATTTAATATAGATGTTAGATCAATTTGGATACATGAGACTTTGAATGTCATGAAAATAGTAGTTTATTAGTGAAGTTTTATTTATAAGTAGTACTATTCCATTTTGGAATCGGGTGAAAACGAGTTTAAAATTATGAAGTAACCAAGGCAATAGGCATTTTACAGATAGGCACACTGCACTTCTAAACGAAGTTAATTCTGCACTGCCTTAGATAAATATGCGCTCATCATAAATTTAATACGTTGCTACTTGGTTAACTGCAACATGTGAGTTTTAGATAAAAGTCCATAAATGTGTACAGAAAAAAATATTAAGAACCAGATGACGGAGTATGCTAGTGAGGAAACGATTTGTGGGGCTGTGGCTCACTGGTCCAGCCATTAGGCTTTCAACCATCGGGTTACAGGTTGGAACACCGCTCGATCTACCGCTATGTGGGAAGCCAGGTAGTATCATTAGCCTTCAAGAGGTAGGTGCGCTTCATTACCTCTTGTATGAATGTGCATTTAGTTACTGAATGCATTTCGATTCAAATGGCAAGACTTATCACACTCATGAGTGTGAAGGCACTGAATCAACGGATGAGAATAGATAATTGATAACTAATATCAGTCTTTGTTAACCAAAACAATACCACAGAAATTAGGTAACAATTTAATCCAACCAATATGAACTGAAGAATGACTGAAAATTGAAAAGCAAACTTTCGGCTCACCTATCGTCAGATAAGTTTCGTATGGACTTGGGGAAACAACCGACCTAACTGGCTGTTTTGAAGCAAACCAGGCATTTACACGATCATTCTGAATGGAGGAGTTATAAGAAATATCCTGTGACGAACATGTGAACCACTTGACCGATGATTCGTTCTTGCCAGAATTAACTTCAGCATTTTTAAAAGGTGAATAAATCTAGACAAAATGCACCGTATCCAATAAATCTCCTCTTGACTCGCCATATTGATGTCTAAATGTAGGTTTTACAGACAGTTAGAAATCACATAATTACAAAGTTGGCCTAAGTGAGCGCATGCATCAGAATAACCTTTCATACGTGTATGACAAATCGTAAGTCGGCACCACATACTTTTTTTAATTAGAGATTCTACTGGAGTGAAGCCTCTTCAGCTGAAGATTAGGTTTTGAGCAAAGTAAGCTGACACCTAGCTTTTTATAATCCGTTATTAAGAGAAATCAATTTTTATTGTGCATTTCTATCTTCCTAGTACATAAACAAAACAAAATAGGACAACAAACCTTGACATATTTTTGAAATATGATTCCACTAAATAGGAAACAAATGTAATTTCTCCACTTTAAATGACTGGTGATAACAGTGAAACATAGAGTTTACGTGAAGCATATCATATGACCACTATATCTCATACTATTACAATAATATTACACCGTTTGCACTTTATCAGGTTGATGTTTCCAAGGTGGTATGTCAAACTTTTTTTGTTACAGTCTTTCTATAAATACTGCTGCTATATAAGCCAAAAAGTGGAAAACGTTGACCTCCGACAAGCATCATCTTATTTATTTTAAAGTAAACCTTGTGCATTGTGGTAGAATCTAATTTCAGTTTTATTGATTTATTAGATTTATCATAGTGTAACAGTGTTGTTTACTGGATTACGTTTCGGACGTAATTTATTGTCCATAGTCATATTAAGATGACCACACAACTTTGAGATATCCTTTATATAGTCCTAATTTCCTCGTGAGATGGGTAGTAAGATTTTCTATTTATCCGGAAGAGGTGCAGAGTCATTCCTGTTGCATGTGTTAGGTGTTAGTTCGATAAAATGAGATTCAGTTACCAATCTCTCCCTCCACCCTGTTATGTTAGTTTTAAGGACTTCCATCCCGTCCTGACCTATTGTGTGGTTGTGTGTAATCGCATACATAGCTACGGTTAAGCTTTTTTCTAAATTCCTTACCTTACTAGGATCTACTAATTTTCACCTAGCTTGGTTTTTGTGCTCGGACAAAAGAAACCAGATACATTAAAGGCGCTTTCATCATCAATCATTACCCACTCAAATTAATTCACAAGCTCCTTAGGAATTGTAAGAAAAATATCAGTAACACAGTTATTGATAGTAGTAATAATAGTGGTAATAACAGCAACAATAATAGTAATAGTAGAGTTGATAATGATGTTAATAATAGTAGTGGCAATCCTGTGAAGAGAAAATTCAAAACCTCTACAGTATTACCATACAAAGGCACCTCAGAAACACTACGTAGAATTCTCAATAAGGCTGGGATTAGAGTGGCATTTAAACCTACAAACTCACTTCGAAATAGGCTTTGTAGGTTAAAAGATCCTATTGACCCAGCTAAGCAGAATAACTTAGTTTACCGAATCCTTTGCACCGATTGCGAGGTCGAATACACAGGTCAAAGTAGTCGACCAGGGTCAATTAGGCTATCCGAACACAAAAACCAAGCTAGGTGAAAATTAGTAGATCCTAGTAAGGTAAGGAATTTAGAAAAAAGCTTAACCGTAGCTATGTATGCGATTACACACAACCACACAATAGGTCAGGACGGGATGGAAGTCCTTAAAACTAACATAACAGGGTGGAGGGAGAGATTGGTAACTGAATCTCATTTTATCGAACTAACACCTAACACATGCAACAGGAATGACTCTGCACCTCTTCCGGATAAATAGAAAATCTTACTACCCATCTCACGAGGAAATTAGGACTATATAAAGGATATCTCAAAGTTGTGTGGTCATCTTAATATGACTATGGACAATAAATTACGTCCGAAACGTAATCCAGTAAACAACACTGTTACACTATGATAAATCTAATAAATCAATAAAAATGGAATTATATTTTGCTAATGATTTAATTGGTAAGATTATTGTACAGCTCGGTTCAAGAGCCGTTGATTGATGCCTCGTCCATTTATGGGTGATGTATATTTCAGAAATAATTGTTTGTTGAGTGAAATCCATTATTGTGCATTATCCCATTTTTTTTAGCTTGAACTAGGTTGTTTCATCTTCATAAAAATTATAGTACGTTGTGGTCAGGTAATTTAGTCGCACATACAGATGAATCAGATCACTTAAAAGATATGGTCTTTGTGTTCCATTGTAAGCAAAGCGGTTGGGAGGGACGAATCATGTGACTCATCGTATGGGCGGATTGAGTATAAAAGAGTGAACATGTATATTAGATACCGATCATATGCAAGGTCAGTATTAAGATTGAATCAGTAGAATTGTGTGTCTAAGGTAATTGCGTCCAGGCAAAGTTGTAACAAATATGTGAACAGACCTACTCATTGCTGATTTCCTGCACAGTGTTAAAAATAATATCGACATTCTACAATATAATCATCCTATAACGGATACATAACCTCGCCCGGTTAACTAGTTCACTAGTCACTACCCGGTCCTAAGCCCGGGTAAAGAGGGAAGGTTGGGCATAGGGCTACCAACCCTACCCTGTAAAACAAATCCAACCGCTACAGAAACTTCAAAGCACAGACAAAATATAAAACATAAAGACAGAATTATTCCTCACTGGAATCGGAGACAAAATGACGCCAGTTGGTGAAAGCCTTCGGGAAGCCAATTCGCCGATATGTCTTCTCTCGATGAAAGCGAAAGTAAACGTGGGGACATGGAATGTCCGCACCATGTCTGAACCTACCAAGGCTGCCCAGATTGCAAACGAGATGAGAAGGTATCGCATTGAAGTGTTAAGAATTTGCGAAAGCAGACGGAATGGGAGTGGACTCTCCAAACTGTCAACTAGAAGGTCAAAAATCTACTCCGATACTGTCACCCAGACGACAACCACGAGCACACTGAGTTTTCGAGTGGCCCTCATGATGTCCCCAACAGCATCGAAGGCTCTCATGCAGTGGGAACCAATCTCCTCCTGCAGGATCATGACAGCAAGATTCAACTCAAAAGGAAGGAAGGTCACAATCATACAATGCTATGCACCTACAAATAATGCAGATCAAGAGAAAAAGGAGGAATTCTACAGACAACTGCAATCAACACTGGACAAGACGTCAGTTGGCGATATCAAAATTCTAATAGGCGACATGAATGCCAAACTGGGAGCGGACAACACAGGAAGAGAACTAACCATGAGTCGAGAGGCGCTAAGTGAAATGAACGAGAATGGAGAATTGTTTTCAGAATTCTGTGCATTCAACGATTTGGTGATTGGAGGCAGTGTGTTCAAGCACAAGGATATCCACAAAGCGACATGAATTTCACCAGATGCACACACTAAAAATCAAATCGACTTTATCTCAATCTCAAGAAAATAAAGACGCAGCCAGCCTACTGGATACAAGGTCAAGAAAAGGAGCGGATATAGGTTCACACCACTATCTAGTGCAAAAAACTACCCTCCAAATCAAGTTAAAAGCCTTCAAGGAAGTTGGTGATAGACCACAGTTCAAGTACAACACTCGGAAACTGAAGGATGAAACTACAAAGGAAATCTTCACGTCAGCCATCAGAACAAAATGGGAGATATCGAGCAACATCCCTGAAGAAGCCTGTGTGGATGAGCACTGGAACTCTTTGAAGGCTATATGGAAATAAACCTGCACAACCATACTAGGAAGTAGGAAGAAAGAAGATAAGGAATGCATCTCGACAGACACATGGAAGCTGATACACAAGAGGAGGATGGTGAAGCAGAAGATAAACCAGTGCAAGGATGAACAATGACAAGACGAACAGAGTGCAATATATAAAACACTGGACAAAGAAGTGAGGAAGAGTGCGCGGAAAGACAGAAGACACTTCAACAACACACTTGCAAGTGAAGCAGAACTGGCTGCAGGTAGGAGAGACCTGACAACATTGTATCAAATAACCAGGTTACTATCTGGGAGGGAAGAGATCAACACAGATGAAACCAATAAAAGATGATGACGGAAATTTAATTACGAAAGAAGAGAAACAAAGGAAACAATGGACCGACCACTCTGAAAAGCTCTTGAATCGACCACCACCTGCACTTCGTCCAGGAATACCACCAGCAGCTTATACAGAGAACTACCAGTGAACACAGGCCCTCCAACAAAAGTCGAAGTCCTGAACGCCATAAAACTACTGAAATGCGGAGAAGCAGCAGGATCAGATGGGATCCCGCCAGAAGCACTGAGAGCAGACTCAGAGACAACAGCAGACATGCTCACACCACTATTGTAGAAGGTGTGGAAGGAAGAGAAGGTACCTGGCGGTTGGAAGAAGGGTTACCTTATCAAACTCCCGAAGAAGGGAGACCTCAGTGTTTGCAAGAACTGGCGCAGAATCATTCTCCTGTCCACCCAGAGCAAGAAAAATATTAAGCCGCATCATCCTGGAGAGGCTAAAGGATGCACTGGATTCAAAACTACGACCGGAACAGGCAGGCTTCAGGAAGTACAAATCATGTGCCGACCAAATTGCAAAGCTACACTTCGCATCATCATAGAACAGAGTACAGAATAGCAGTCAACTCTCTACCTTAACTTTATCGACTTTGAGAAGGCCTTTGACAGCGTCGACAGAGAAGTAATTTGGAAACTGCTTCAATACTACGGAATACCACAAACCTTTATCAATCTCATTCAACAACTATATGAAGACGCCACATGCCAGCCAAGTAATTCACAATGGGAAGCTCAGTGATGCCTTTGAAGTGAGGACAGGAGTGAAACAAGGCCGTCTACTATCACCCATGATATTCCTGATTGTGGTCGACTGGATCATGCAGCAAACAGTGGGGAGCGAGAAGAGGGGGATACGCTGGACTGTGGAAAAGAACCTAGAAGGTCTGGATTTCGCCGATGACTTGTGCCTGATGTCACACAAACTTGAAGACCTACAGGCAAAAGCTAACAAATTTGCAGAAGAGGCAGCGAAGATGGGACTTCAAGTGAATATAGAGAAGACAGAAGTGATGAAGATACCGCACCACCGCCATCAACAACAACAACAAGCTCTAATCACTATCAACGGGAGAAACTTAAAGGAAGTAGCCTCCACCTATCTAGGCAGCACTGTTTCAACTACAGGTGGCGGCACAGACGAGAACGTCAAAGCCAGCCAGGATCGGAAAAGCAAGACAGGCGTTCATTAGCCCGAAACCAGTGTGGAGATCTTCTGCACTCAGCACAAAGCGTGAACAAGATCCGGATTTTCAACACTATTTCAGTCAAGTCAGTGCTTCTGTATGGTTCAGAGACTTGGTGCGTTACGAAAGGGATTTCCAACAAATTACAGACATTCATGAACAACTACCTACGCTGGCTCGTTACTGAAGATCAGATGGCCAGAAAGAATAAGCAACAAGGAGATCTGGGAACGAATCAACCAAGAACCTATCGCTCAACAAATATGCAGTGGAAGGAAGTGGAGATGGATTGAGCATACACTGAGAAAGCCGACTGGGGACATCACGCGTCAGGCCCTCGAGTGGAACCCAGATGGGGAGCGACGAGTTGGACGTCCGAGGGTGACATGGAGGAGATCGTGCGAGGAGGAAATGAGAGCTTCTGGGCTGTCGTGGAGCCAGGTTCAAAAGATTTCAGAGAACAGAGTTCACTGGAGACGTGCTACTGAAGCCCTATGTTCCATTAGGAACCCAAGGGACTAATAATAATAAAATAATAATAATAACGGATACATAAACTTATCACTGATACCATATTTTAATCCATAATGCCTTAACAAAGTTAGTAACCATGACATCCAAAGACGACTTTGCCATTCTGACAAATCACTAACGCCCACATATGAGTATATCTACACAATAACTAATTTGAAACAACCACAGAAGTGGCGTTCTAAAACCAAAAAGCGCAATTACAACCTCGGGAGGCATTGCTCACATCTGAATAATTTAATGGTTCAGTTTAAAAATCAATCACCTACACCCATGAGTAATAAGGACTGAAATTATTTCTAAGATATCTTTGTGTAAGCAACATTCACTGTTCAGCAAATCGAAAAATATTTATTATATACTCATTTCTGTGAAAAATCCTGTTAACTTCACAAAGTTCTTTGAAGCTTGTATAAACGAAACTTTGGTGATATATCTCTTGAAAATCAACTTTACTGGAATTACCGGTCTGTCAACTCTCTATTAAGACCATGTGTTTTTGAATCTTCTCAAGTGTATTTCATCTGTATCCATTGGATTCGAAATGACATATACGAGAAAGTATGTAGAGTTGTAGTATGTTTCCTGACAGGATAGACGTAAACCTTTTCAATCTGCCTGCTACTCCATCTAATGATAATAATAGTAATGTGTGAATGTGTAGCTAAAATTGAAGTATCCGCAGGAAATAAAAATGCACTCAGCAACCTTGTTCACATCTGTGAAGTAGGTAGTGAAATATACCTATTGTGTGAGAACTAACGATACTACCTGACTGTCAGAATCTCGATAGATGGGGTGGTGTTCGAACTAGTGACCTATTGGTTGAAAGCTCAGTCTCTAGACCAATGAGCCACAGCTCTACATAATAGTAATAGTAGTGATAGTAATACTAGAAGAAACAGAGGAAAGTGTAATTACAAGAATGGCAAGCAAGAGATCATTTCAACTACCAAAACAAAACAGTTGACGGACAGAACCACATCTGTAGGCTCTAACAAATTACAATCTGAACAATAACAATTAACTAGAGGTAGTATTCATCACGGACTGATATCAGATGGGGAACCATTAAAAATCTGAGAGTATTGGACAGCTGTTTTGTCCTAGTATTGGACTCCTCAGCAGTACGCACCGACTGATGTCAGTCCGTGATGAATACTACATCTAAGTTAAAAATCCCCATTCATCTCAACAATAATAATTAGTGTTTTATTGGGTGTTACTTACCAATAAGTAGTATGAGACTGGAGAAACGATCAAATAAAACCCCAGCCAGATTACAACTTTGAATGGGTAGGTACATGCTAGGAATTACTTCAGATTTGGTCACATACTAGGAATAAATTGAAAAAGTTAAACAGAAGTTAAACACAGTTGACAACTTGTTTTGTAACTACGGTTCATAAAATTAGACGATTGAATAACAACCACTGAGTTATGAGCTAGAACCCACCTTAACTACCAAGCTCAGGGAACAAAATAGCGGGTTTGATTCATACTTTTGTATACCAACCTGTACTCAGTTATTGGGTTGAATTATTTTATTTGCTGCTAAATCGCTATCGCAAATGCATGATGAGCAGTAAATTTGTGCACATAATAGTCTGTTTTTAATCGCATACGAGTACTTCTTAATTTCTGACCTTCCCACCGTAGAGTAGTCTAACCGATTAGACTGGAATGATCGAGTATTTTATGGAGCCTAATGTCCTCTCAAGAAAATCTTGATGGAAACCAAGTAACCGTTTATTATCTACTGTATTCAGCGACTGTTGAGGTGCTTAGTGTACTTTCTTCATGCGTAGCCTAAATAAAATATGCTAATACTCAATATTCAATGCTAAGTATTTAGACCCCTGGTTCATCTCCCCAAAGCACCACAAGAGACGAAATCATCTGAGAGGTAAAACAAAACAAACACGCCATAAAAAAGAACCAAATGGGAACCAAGAAATTAAAAAATTAGGATATCATCCCTACACATGAACCCAGAGGAGAAGTGAAGGGATAAAACGATACAAACAGGTAGTTCACATAACAAACGGATAAAAGTCGACATATTAGTCTGTTTATTAGAAATGTCACACAGTGAAACAGTATCACTTAGTAAATAACGTTTCTGAAATAATTTATTTTCTATATTCAAATGAAACAAATACAGTAAATTATGTCAGCATACATTTAGAACACTAATCAACATTTTTAAAGCAACTACAATCCAACAAATGAAAAAAACCAACGAGTTTATCTTACAAACATCTTTGATAATTGGTTGGAGCGCTCTTACCAGTGGTAGAAGTGTCGCTACTAAGTACTCTATCCCACGCCTTAGTCTCGAAAACCAAGTCAAGTATGTAGGGGAAGTGATTGGAAATCCTGATATTCACATCATACTCGTGTACTGATTCGCCATCTCACGAAACGCTCAAATATTGCTGAGTTGGTGGCGTTATACTGAAAAATTTGGATTTACTCAAACAGAAGTTACGGCGGAACTAAGGAATTCTGTAGCCTTCGAGCAATTTGCCCAGTGATCCTGAGCTCTTGGCTAAATTTTGAAGCCAATACAAAGTTTATCGGTAATATGTAAGAAGACATGGTGAAACTGTAATAAACTACACTACGATCAACTTCTACGTCCCTCCAGTCATTCGTTTTGTACCTAATTCGAAGAAATCAGGAATGAGAAAATCCCACAAGGCATTATTATAGGCACTACAGTTTCACATCCCGAGCCTAATTCTAAATACTGAGTCCAAACACTTAGATCAAAGGAATATAGCATTCTCTATTCTCAATCGATAAGTGCTACGTCGAAGACGTAATTGGACTTGCATATTTCAAGCTATGCTGGTTGGAACACTTGTTCCTATGGGGTCCACCTATACCAGAAAGGTCAGTTGAACAGTGGTAAGACAAAAGCCAGTTACAGTTTTTGCGTAAACTGCCTCGCTATGGTTGGCGTCCGAAGGTGAATCCATATTGCTGGTTGGGAGACTGTGACAGTAGTAAAGAGTTTTCCGTGGATGACCAGAAGTAGTATGCTAACGCTGCCTTCTTTATGGAGAGGAAGGGATTACAAATATCGGTCCCTCCCTCCTACTTTTAAGTCTTCCGGTGCCCTCGTTATGGAATTTTTATTTGGATGCGAACCGATCAAACCCAGACACAGGTTCCAGAAAGACTATGTGGCCACGACCTTAAGCAGATATCTCGTCTGTTCTGCGATTATGCATCACTATTACTAATACAGTTCCTTCCTCATAGAAGTGTCAACTACTCTCAAAGTCTGAAAGCACTCAAATTCCATCAGATCATTACAAGCTTCAACATATTTGCACTTAATCTTACCTCATGTCTCTTGCTCAATATCCCTACGTCATCTTTAAATTCATTCAGCTCTGCAGCTCTTAATAACGATTCCAGTTGACAAAACAGCACTCTTTCGTCTCCTGAAGCTGTGCTCCAAACTACACATTACAGCCTTCAATGTCCACAGCCCCTATTAAATGGGCCAACAAGCTTCACTAACCGAAACTCTGGCATTTTGGTTGTGGATGTGTGGTGCGTTTGTGAGACACGCATACAGGACCTAAGTACAGTTACTCACTTGATATCAGCTGGCAAATATGATGAATCTGCGGAATTCACTCCAGATTTCTAGAGATTCTATGGCTAGTTCACGCGGTATTGCAGGTGTAAGTATAACATTAAATGCTTAAGCGAAATGGATGTTGCATTACTGGATCCCATTAAGTCATTTGTTAGGTGTTCGATTGAATGGTGAAGAGTGGACCAAAAAGAATGGTGAAACACTCCACTATTCTTTTGTAATCTTTGCTTATGCACCAACTGACTGTAGTACGGATAAAGTAACGAATAAGTTCGATGGAATACTGTCTATCCTCCTACTGAAAGCCAGAGGTTCAGATGTGGTTGGAGATAATTTCAATGCATAAGTAGGTAGGCTAAGTTAGACATAAAGAGACTTGAGTGGAACTTTCAGAATCCAATCTAAGGAACAGATAATGGCGATCACCCACTGCAACTGTCCCCTATTTCCGGTCGCCACCGATTTCAGACAGAGATCAACTGATGTAGACCCACCGATATCAACTCAAAGGTAGAAACAGATAGACCATATTGCTATCGATTATTGCTGAAGACTGTAAACTGAAGACTGCCACTTCTACAAAATCATATGTTTTAACGGTAATCAAGCACTTATTCGAGAACGCATATGCTTGCACCTAAATGGCCATGAGAAAACTAAAGCGAAAAGAGCATTCTAAGTGAAGCTCGATGGTGAGAGTACCAAGTCTGCTTCCAGTGAGAAACTAGCTCAACAGCTATCGGAACAGAACGGTATCACTTAACCGAAAGAGTTCTGGAGTTACCTCCAATTCGCTGTACAAATGCCACTAAGGACCACAGCTGACTCTCAGAAAGTGGTTACAAAAGACCAGTGGATCTCAGCAGCTTCGTCCGAATTAATGGATGTACGCGAATGCAACTGTGCGGGTCCAAGCCCAACGAGGAGCGGAAGCAACTCAAATCTGGACTAACAAAAGGTCTACGCACTGACCACAAGCAGTAGTGATTAGCAAAGACTAGAGACATGGGAAACACCATGGCAATAAGTAACAGGAGACAGCTATTGAAGTTTATCAAGGAAACTGCTGTGAAAATGCCAATGATTAGTCCAATTATGGCGGAGGATGGGTCTGCGTTTCACTCGCAGAGTAGATGACTGGAACAGTGAAGGAAACACTTCGATGAACAGGTTATTAGCCTTCACCAAATATTCATTCAGCTGATATCCAGTCAGACCCCAAATGGAATACAGGTAAGTCCTCCAACTCTTGATGAAGTTCAGATGGCTGTAAGTAATTTGGAACGAGGAAGGGCATCTGGGCTAGTACCGGAGGAGTGTAACGATGGTGGTCGCTGATTATTGTTTAGGTTAGCTGGAGTGTCACCTAACGTATGGGAATCATATATGATCCCCACCAACCGGTCTCAACCACTGATAGTCCCAGTGTCTTCAAAAAGGAGGGAAATCCTCTTGTGATAACCACAGATGAGTCAGTCTGACGATCACAAGGTTTAAGATTCGAGGTTCTGTTATTATCAGAAATCTAAGTAGAGCTCTAGAACAGTTAACCCGATGAAACCAGACGATTTTCAGACCTGGTCGTGACCCGGTCGCCCAACGCCAGATTCTGGAACGCAGAGACACTTTCTGACGCCTGACATTAGTTGTATTTCTCGACCTGAAGGCGGCATTCGACTCAACCGATCAGGAGATTTTACAGTAGAGTCTGTTACTGAAAGGGGGTACCGGGTGCGTAAATCACTTTTCTGAAGGCTCTGTACTCGAACACTTGTTGGTGTGTTAGGGTCTATGGTGAGGTGCGTACGTCGAGTTGTGTCGGTTGAGCATGTGCACTCTAGCTATTCTTGTTTAGTTTTGTCACAGACGTACTTGTGGAGGTTCGCTTCTCCTCGGTTGACTTTAAAGCGATTGACCTTATACAGTACGACTTTTTAGTAAACCAAGAGATACTGAAAGGATGCAGTTTTGTGAAGATTTTGAGTAGTCACTTGAGATATTTGCGATACGTCTCTCCAAACTCAAACGTAAACTGCTGCTCTAGCAGTGATCTGCATTGGTGTCCCGTCTCATATACTCTGGAAATCGAATCAGCCATGATGCGTGAGTGACCGAAGAGATCACAGCACGGATGCATAAAGCTCTTTTGGGTTTGGCAAGTTATGCTATTCATGGGAAGCAGTTGTCTGATTGGCTACTAAGGGTCGAGTGTACTCCTCTGCAATTCGCTCTGTTCGATTATATGGCCGTGAAACATTATTACGACTTCCTACTATTTAACCACTTTCCTCATGCTTTTATTTTCCACCTTAGTGCCTACTACCTTTATGTGCTAATATGAGGCGTGACAATATGAACCGCTATGCAGTAATATTGTGTCTTTCGTTGATGTTGATTGTATTCCCTTTTAACTCATTAAATATAAATTCCTGCTTCATGAGTTGATTCCAAACTTTGATACATCTAAAACCAAAAGTTAGAACTATGCACCCAATTAGTTGACACAAGCTTAGTTTCAGTTACTTAACTTTGATTTATGAACCCATAGGCAGCTGAAGTATTTAACTGTTTCACAGAACGATTGGTGTCACTCGTACCAAGATGAGTTCTTTAGCAGTTATTAATTTTGTCCAACACCTCTACTCAAACTGAATTAGAAGTTTCATCGCCAGTAATGTACTTGCAGTGGAGGTTGCATTCAGTAAGCTTTGATTTGATAATTATATTTCTATGGAAAGGTCACCTACCTACTAAGTTACTGCTGAAGGAAGTTGCCAACAGCCTTTAGAAAATATTCCTTAGGTTAGATACTAGGATTATAACACCCATCAACAGCTTAACACGGTATCAAAATGCAAGGGAAAACAGCTTGTCTACAACATTTTCTACGGCCAAGCTTCATTTCGATTTCACATTGAAAGGTAGGGAGCAGTTGCATGTTTGGGAAGCATCTTTAGGGGATCAATGGTTTCGAAGCATCTTCGTAAGTTTTAGTTATTCAACTTGGCAATTGCAAACCACGAAAATCCTGGTCAGGATTCATGATGATCTCAGGTCATCACTCAAATTATTGTTCCGTGCCATCATGAGAACCCCTTTTGTTCTGATTCACTACGCTAGAAAAGTCACACAAATTTGACGTAGATTTTCCTTTTGCAATCTAAATTCTGTAGAAAGTTTTCGAACCCTTAATATCCGGGAGGGAAGCAGGTGCTGTCACAGATTTGGCGAAAACGTCATGCTTTCACAGCCTTCGTAACAATATTATGAAACGGAGCAGAGCGATGATAAGTAACTTACAAGCATGAAAATAGCACTTATGCAGGTGTCAAAAACTCACTTCAATCCTCTTTTTTTTCCATTGCAGCTGTTGACATTTACTTAGCAGACGGACATAGCCCTTTACACCGCTTTAAGTTTGAATGTGGAATGTTGTACAGCAACCTTTTGGAATTTGTACATTGGTAGTAGGATACGGATTTCTTAACCAAATTTGTTACAGGAAACTGAATGCCCGTATGAAAACAGGAACTCATTGAGGAAATACCTTGAGGCTTATTTAATCTTGTACATAAAACTCGACTTCCTTGTATTGATTTTTCTACCGGATGCAAATTTATGCTTGTCTACCTAATGCTTGCAGGAGGTGAATATCCATTAGTGTTTTTTTTTGTGGTTTAGGAAAGAAGGTTCGTTAGTTATGGGTAACGTCAATCTCAAGAAAACTAACAGTACAGTCTAGGCAGGATAGTAAATGTGCAGTAAGGATTTATCTTTTGCAGTTCAAACAGAGAAGCTGATGAACAGCATGCATATTGTGTGATAGGTTACGAATATTATTCTGGAAAACTACATGCACTGAGTCGGCACAATAAACGTGACGTGAGACTTATGAATTGACAAGACTGGATTCTTACGGGTATTGCATAGATAACAGGAATTTAAATGAAATGGTAAAAATGTAGAAGTAAAGTTCACATACGTCAGTTAACGCGGGAATAAAGAGAGGACGTTTCTGAAGTGACCCCTGCATTGTGGTTATTAGGTGAGAATACCATTGAATCTACGTGTGGATGCCAAAACTGTGCAGTGCGTACGTAAAATAATACTTGAAATACTGAAAAGCCACATTTCAGCATTATTTTTCAATGCATCTTCTGAATTATTTCAAAATTTATCAGAATGATTTGTGCATAATTATCTTGGGTACTTCATTTGCAATAAACATCACAAAACATGTTGGAGCCCCTGGGTGCCAACAAAATTATAGATTAGCCTACTCGTTTCTGGTAGCTTCAGGACCAGTTGGGAGTTGCTCTAGATCAGCAGAATTATTCGGCTGTACCCAAGCCGCATATCATTAGTGTAATTGCTATAAGTACAGTTAAAATGGCACCAAAAGGGTTAAGAGATCCATTGCAACTAGACTTATAAATGTCTTCATATCAAGTAAAACAGGAATGTGCATGTGACTGAATTTCCTTTAATCAATATGACCTAAAATGCACGATAATCAGACATGGACAGGTGCACTGCCTGAGAATCACACACTCTGTTACATCAGAGACAAACAGTAACTCACTTTTTTATAAAAAGTTAGTAGTATATCTTCGCCGTCCCATTTTGTTATTTGTCCAATTCGCCAAACCAAGAAGCGTAAACGATAAAGACCTTTATCTAGTTGCCTAACCAACCCAGCCCTTTGAAGCTCCTGACTCTGGCTACAAGCACACTCTGGATCTAAATCGGATATTAAATTCCTTTTAAAATCAGGTTTATGCGTTAACATACATGTTTTGAAGACAACTGTGCTTTATATGTTTCTGTTCACCTGTGCATTCTTTAATGACACAATTATTTTCTTCCATTGTATTTTTGTGCTCCTTTATTTTCATAGGTGTTTTGACTGTTTGGTGGTTTGATGAAACTATCCTGCCCCTAATTGCATTAACTTAAGTTATGTACTGCATAATTACCGTTTCCACATGCACATATCCGTTTTGTATGGAACCTTGCAAAATGCAGGGAAGTTTTGTTTATGCCTTGAAGGCAGATGGCTGTTGTAAGTCTTAGATTTGGTTTGTTCAATACTTTTCTCCTTTGACAGTGACACGCTCTTACCACTTTCCAGTATGACGATGAGTGTTTTTTCGGTTTGGTGCGGAAAGAGAGTTAAATGTGCCCTGCTAAGCACTTCTTCAACTTCTTTTATGAGTGATTTCTCCGAATAACTGTCTTGAGTTTCATTATTCCCTTTATTTATAGCTTGAACACTTTTATTCACACAACTGCAAATGCTTTTTCTACATAGGTTTTATTTACATCAATCAAATAAATTTATTTCAAGTGTGTTACTTACGCATTTAATTTTTGATAAAGCCCTAGCAGCTGATACATATCACATATTTGTTGTCCGCAGAGTTGAAATTTACGCTGGAGGAGAAAATCAATGTCGATATAGCTGCAGTGATCACCTTTTACAAGACTTCTCATACAGCAGTTTTGAATGGCTGAGCTATTAGTGTAAGTACCTAACAAATTCGTGGCTTTTAAAACACATTAGGCAGTAGCGAACTTTAGAAACTTACACACAACAGATTAATTGGCAAAAATACGCTAACCAATCAAATATGCGGACGACCTTCAACACCCAACAACAATGTGCGAGTATAAGAAACTTGTAGTTTTGAGCTCTCCCTTTTAGGTCTTGAGGCTCGGTTCCTTTTGTTCCAGTGCGTTCCTTCGATGGTCACAGAAGTCTTTGGGTTTTCCTGCTTACAGCTTTGGAGGTATCCAATACTGATAGCGCGAGCGTAGAAAACTGGTAGTTTTTGATCTCTCGCGTCTAGTTCTTAGGGCTTGGTTCGAGTTGTTCGGTTCACTCCTGCAGTGGATGAGGAAATCCCCTCTGCTTTCTTGCTTTTAGCTTCGGTGAGGTGGATGTTTTGTGGGTTAGTAAGTTGTAATTTGTAGAGTGATTGGGGAACTACGGGTTGCTGGGATGTTTAGCGAACTGCCGTGACTCCTGTCTGTGTAGGTACCTGAAAGAGAATAGTAAGGTAGTGGTAAAAGAATGAAGGCAGAATAATAAAATAAAAAGAGAAGAAAAAAGAAAAGAAAAGTAGTGAGAGAGGTAGTGATTGTTTAGTTGCGAGTATTTTATTTGCAAATTGTAGCTTGGCCCTTATTTGGGGGGGGCAGCGGAGCTGCTGATAAGGTCAATCAACCGTTCCCAATTCCTGTTGTCGTACGCACCTGCAAGTAAGTGTTAAGCCTTATCCAATGTCCAATATCTTTTAACGAGCTGGTGCAAACCAATTGATTTCTTCGCGCTCGCTTCTAGGTCTTGCGGAACGGTTCCAGGTCTTTGGTGGATTCCAGTGCAGTAGGTCTACCCACTCGGCTGCTGTAGCTCTGGTTAGCCCAACAGGGGGCTGGGTGTTGGTTAAAATTGTAGGTAGTGTTGTTTGTTCGTTTGCTTTTCCTGCCAAGGACTGTGGTGCAGATGGGTTCCTCAAGTGTCGCGCCAGCAGATAATTGGCCAGACTGGTTGTAAAAAGGAGATGAAAAATATGTGCAGAGAAATCAAGGGAGAGAAAGTGCAGAGAGAGACAAAATAAAAAAGAAAAGGAAACAAGAAAGAAAAATAATTCAAGAAGATTAGGGAAAAGGAAACGGCACGGAAGAAGAAACATTGGTAGGTTCACAGGAAATAGGTGATAGGGAGAGCTTTTGTTAAGGTCTGAGAACGTAAAGTCGGAAGGAAGAATAATAAATAACATGATGGGACGAATGGGAATATAGCAATTCTTTTAGTAGGAGACGGTAAGTGGAGGGGACGTCTACAGGAGAGTATAAGGTCCGGCCAAGTTCTCAGTGGTAGTGGCTTTACAGAGCGTTCAGTAACGGTTGGTCGTACCGAGTTAGTAGGTCGTGTCAGCCTAGTCCACATCCCAGTTGGGCGAGCGCGAACCGTGCGTCACTGTGTAACTGTCCAACCTCTTCTTGGAGCTGTCAACAGAAGCAGCTGTGGCAGTCTCGACGGCAATGCATTCCAGTGGCCGCAAACTCGCAGAGAGAGAAGTGTGATCGCACACGGGTTTTCGCTCTTTGGTGAACGATTCTCCTTGGGTTACCACGAAGATCACCATGGTGGCCGTTCGGTAGGATTCCACAGTTCTAATGACTTGGGTTACTGAGTATTTGTAGCCGTTATCAAGCCATCACATAATCTACGCTAGCTTAGGGAGTAGAGCCCTAGATCTTTCAGTCTGTCCTGATATGGTTCTCACCTCATTCCCTCGACACCCTTTGTAGCTCGCCTTTGGGCTTTCTCCAGGAGGTTCACATCTCTTTCCAGACATGGTGGTGCAATGACGTTGTGTACCTCTAGGTGGGGTCGTATATAGGTCTTATGCAGCTTCACAAAGAGTTCCGGGGTCGGGCACCCAACTGCCTGCGCATGAAGTGCAGCACTGCGTAGGCTCTGGTAACATCTCCTGGATAATTGGAGCTGGTGTCTAGTCTATCAGTTAGTATTAGTCCTAGGTCTTTCTCTGTGGTGGTGTGGGAGAGTTATGTTCCACAGAGAGAATGGGGTACCCTCTGAGAGTTTGGAGTGCGGAGAAACATGGCTCGGCATTTATCTAGGTTAAATGCAAGTCCATTATTATTCACCCACCCTGCAAGTAATCTGAGATCACTTTGCAGTGCACTTGATTCCGTTTCTGACGTCATAACTCTCCACAGATTAACATCAGCGTGGAGTAGAATTGCGGGGCTTGGATTCAGTTGCAGGTCGTTCACAAAAAGAAGGATTAGTAGTGGACCCAGAATCGCTCCTTGTGATACACCAGATGATGATGTCCTCCAAGTGGGGCAGACTCTGTTGGCTTTCGTGCAGAACTGTCTACCGTCTAGATAGTCCTGCAACCATGAAAGCACTTGTCCCTTGATGCCCAACCCTGCTATTTTGTGAATAAGAACGTTGTGTGGAACTGTGTCGAAGGCCTTAGTAAAATCCAGGAAAATGACATGGACAGGAATTTGGAGGTCCCAGCATGCCGTCCACTTATCACCCGCCACCAGAATGTTTGTGGCACGGGACCCACCCTTTCTGAAACCTTGTTGAGCATCACTTAGTGCTCCCCTCTTTTCTAAGTGCTCCCTGACACGGTCGTCTACCAGACTCTCCATTACCTTTGACACCACTGGTGGAAGGGCTATGGGTCGGTAGCATTTTGGGTTCTGCCTGTCTCCACCTTTGAAGATGAGGGACAGAATGGCACTTTTGCACTCTTGTGGAAGCATGTGAATGTCTAAGGAGTGTTGAAGCAAGTCACACAGCGGACCGCACGAGGCACCGGCGCACTGTTTCAGCACGGCTGGTCGGATGTCATCACATCCTGGTGGTTTCCCTGGGCGGAGCTTTGAGAGTTTTTCGAGGACCATAGCAGGAGTTACCTTTGTTCCAGGTAACTCTACTGCGTTTGGTGGTGCTGAATAATGGTCGGATAGTTGATAATATTGGTTCAGTAGGGGCGTGTTGAGTTGCATATCGAAGGTGGTGCCGAAGGCTTCGGTGACCTCTAGTCCGGAGAGGTTCTCTCCGTCTAGGCCTTTCAGGACGCAAGCCCCCTGGCTGGAGGATTTTCTGCCTGCCATGAACCGATAAAGGTTTTTGGGGTCTGCCTCGAGCTTTTGGGCAAGGTTCGTCCGAAATGACCTTGCTCTATTGTTACATCGATTTCTTAGGGCAATATACACGGTGTGGTCAGACTCTTTTCTGGAGGTCCTCCACTTGTGCCAAGCTCTCCTTTTGGCCTTCAAAAGGCATTCGGCGCCTCGTTTCGGCCATGAAGTTCGCTTCCGCGGCATTGCTGTGATTACTGGGACGTTTTCAGAGACAGCCCCCTTGATGATGTCTCTGACCAGTTCCCAGTGTTGGTCAGTCGACAAGTTGCTTCACCCCTGAGGCCACAGTGTTGTCGACAGATATTGGTTCATCGCCATGTAGTTCGCTTTGTTGTATCAAAGACAAGGGCGAGATCTCCCCCTGAGAATTGTTCGTTGAGTACCAGATCGAACACTACCACGCCGTGGTGGCTGCTGCCGAGGGGGGGGTTGAACCTGTACATTTTCTACGAGCAGTGGGTCACTGGTAGAGAGGTAGTCCAGTTTGGATGGCCTCCCACCCTACCCCCAGCGAGTGTCATCACCAATATTCTCGCGCAGTCCAGCCCTTTTGATAGTGTTGAGTAGGTTTCGGCCGAACCTTCGGCTTGAGGTTACCCTGTCCTACCGAAGATTGAGAGTCGGAGCACTAAAGTCGCCAGCTATAATGATCTGGTCATATCCGATGAACGTTGCCCCGGACATTACCTGCAGCAGTTGTCGGTTATCTTTCAGGCAGCTAGTAGGAGTTCTGCAGACGCCTCCTACCAGGTACTTGGTGTGTCCAACCTCAAATTGGCACCAGATGGAGTCTGGAAGCCCTGAAAGTGGAGTTTCAGTTGCTCGTTCTTTTTGAAGGTCATCACTTACAAGCAAGGCCACTCCGCCCCCTTCCTTGAACTCTCTGTCTCTCCTGAACAGACGCATACCGTGTATACCAGTTTCGACGCCACTAATATTCGGTGTAACCAAGTTTCTGTCAGGATTATGGTCGTTGGAGCAAGGTGGAACAGAGAAATCGTAACTCCCCCATCTTACTTCCAAGTCCCCTCAAATTTCTGTCAAGACACTTGGATATGATCCTGACGACATGGGATATCTTGGTGCTGGCAGACGGGAGGGAACAGGGTGAATGGGAAATGAGAAAACGAGGAGTGGAAAGTACTTATGAAAAGATAGGTGTTACTGGTAATAATATGGATGAGGGATACGTATCATTGCAGGTACTAGGGTTGGGAATACAAGAGTGGAAGGGCCTGTCATCAATTTCTGCTGACAAATGTTGGTGGTAAGCCATTTGCTTTCGCATAGTCATCCAGTGATCGTTTGAAGGAGTCACCTGATGTGGCTGTGGCCACTTCCTTTGACACAGCGTTCCATAAGGCACATAATCTGTGGCGGAAGAAGTCAGATCTCACTCCCGTGTTTGCCCTATGGTGGGATATGCGAGTGGGTTTCCCGCAGGACTGTCAGTTTTGCACCGATAACACCGTCCAATCTGGGTGGTCCACTTGTTAACTCCCGCCTGTATGGGCACCTGAATGAGATGGTAACGTAGCGGCAAGGAATGAAAAAGGGGAAAAAAGGAATAAAACAGAGTAAAAGGGGGGAAAGAAAGGAAATATCAGAAAAAGGGTGTGAGAGTTGCTCGGAGGATGAAGGTAGATAGCGTAGGTCTGTTTCCCAAGGAAGAATTAAAAAGTAATGTGGGTGTATTCAGGAGAAAGGTAGTGAGTGGCGGGTAGAAGGAAGGTGGGGGTGAACTGGTGACGTTGGGGACTCTCTGAGTACGTCCATGGTGGAACATGAGAGGTGACATCTGTCTAATCGTCTCTTGAATGAGTCGACTGAGGCAGTTATCACTATATGTCACGGTAAGGCATTCCATAAAGCAGATACTCTCAAGGAGAAAAAATTGGACCTAAGTATGGTATTGGCTCTCTGACGTGCTATCTCAATGGGGTTTCCCCGCGAAGACCG